GTTGATCTCTCTCAAAACCCGGGGCTTGGACGGCGTATGGATGTGAGGCGTTTCCGCCGCTGCTACGGCATAAACGTGATGAGTGGCGGCGTGCGTTCATGTGTGGTACGCGGGCCAGGGCCAAGGTCGGAATGTGCGCCGCCGGCAGACGGACGAGGCCCCGCCGGCTGACGGACGATGCGACGGTGGTGGCGACGGCACTGCGCAGTTCCAGTACAGTACTCCTGAACCATCAGTGGGGCCTCTCACGCGTCTGAATGGCCGCCTCCCACTCAGATGCTAAAGATTGGGACCGGGAAGCCATCGCGCCAGTTTAGTGGCGATGGCGACACGTTGTCTCCACGCGCCCCTGCTGGAAGTATGGTCCACCGCCTGCCAACCCCCACAACCGTAGCATCGTAATCCACGCTGGAACCGTCGTGAGCGCATTCTTACCTGTTGCAGCAGCCCCGAGAATGACGTCCAATGTATTTTGTAACATCATTAATAATGCATGTGCTGTCAACTGAGGAGTCACTCCATTGTCAACGACAGCCACATTCCCGTCAACCACAGTATTGACGCAGAGGTAAACACGCAAAGCGTTTCGTATTTCTGTCATATTGGAGCGTCTTAGTTAGTATCGCGAAACAGCTCAGTCAGCTCAGAGAAAAACAGCTCAGTCAGCCGCAGGTGCATCCGTCTGCCTGTCGCCATGCTTTGGGTTTTTGGTATGACTGGATTTCTGGTGTGCCTGTCATTCCTTCTGTAGTTCCTGTCCGTTCGGCCCGTCCGTAGCGCCGTCGCTCGGCCTCTGGGCTCTCAGGGCTGGCTCTCACACCCGCCCGGACCACGGGTCCGGTCCGGTCCGGTCCAGTCCGGTCGTGTCCGATCCGCTCGTTACGCGGCCGGTCCGGGCTGGGTCGGTGTCACCCGGCCATGGCGGACCGGTGTGAATCAAACAGAGCTGGCGAGCGGAGAAAACTGTGAGCGGCCCGGCCCGGTTGCGTAGCCGCTGACGGTGAACGGACCACTGTCACCGTTACAAGTCACTTTCGGAGCCGCGTGTCACCCCCAGCGTAATGTCGCAGCGGACACGGACGGTTTGTCGTCATTTCACCGACGCTGCCAGGTTTTTGCATGCCTGCATGCCGAGGTATTGTCGATGGCAAGTTGACAGCCTGCCGACATGCTGTATGATGGTTATTGGTTACCACTGTGGCCTGTGATATGGCAGAACTTTTGGCTGACGTAGCCAACGTTTCTCCCTTCGTAGTATGTGCATGTGATGCATCATGCGTCTGTTTCGGTAATAACTCACGGCTCTTTTCCTTATTTTAGCTTCTGAAAGGACAGTTGGCTGGATCTGACTGGCCCCCTTCTTCAGCGGCGCGGCGTCGTTCCGCCTTGGCGCTGCCCCGAGGCACTTCGGGCCGGTTAGGTAATCTGTTTGGATCAGTCGATGACGCTATGCTTAGCTCAGGCTTCAACAGTAAACGGAGACTGTTTCACGTCCGCTATTTCGGGCAGACTTCAAACAGTTTGCGTTCCCCGCTCGCATGGCTCGGCTCTGCCAAAACGGACAAAGATATCTCTCCGGTTAAATTTGTCGCGCTAAGTCTCCGCTTCCTCGATCCGAGGTCATTCATTCGTCGTACAGCTTATTTGTGTTAATCTTCAAGTGTCTATGCACTAGTGACTCGGTGAATCTTTTCTTATTCCATCCGTCGACCTTGTCGACATTATCGTAACTTGTCCATTCCATTTATTGATTTGGATGGTCGGGGATTTGTGGGAAGGTGGCCCTCGAGGGGATGCGGTGTGTGAGTCCGACTGCAACGAAGTCCAGTCGGATTACCCAAGTGAAGGTAGCTAGGCACTGACATGAAGGCGAAGGCTTACATACATGTAGGAACTCTGTTCATCTGGAACGACGCCGGGCTCCGGGCTGGCAGTCAACTTCCTGACCATTCCAGACACCGATTGTGTGTTCAGCTCAGTTCGTAGTTATGTCTGTGTCAGTCTGTGTCCATGTCTGACAATCTACGTCCGTGTCTGTCAATCTCTGTCCATCCGCCCATTCTTGACGTCCGTCTGTTCACTCCTTCCGTTCGTGATGTGCGCGTGTGTGTTTCTGTCGGCTGGGGCCTGGGGGACATTGCCCCTCTCCAGCGAACTCATTGTGCCATTTCCGCGCTGTGTTTGGAGAGCCTAACGACTGTGTTACTCACGGAACGACGACTGTGTCAATAACACGGAAAGGCCACTGTGACATTGTGACACTATACGGTCGCTGCGTCACTTGTCAGCATGACACGGAGGGTGACTGTGTCAGTCACAAATAGCGACTAATTTGTCAGTTTCACCGAGTAGCAGTTAAGTCGGTATTACATCAGCGCTTAGTGCCATTCCCAGCTCCTTACTCCTCACGCATTGGTCATTGTGACATCCGTCTACGCAGCACCTCTCTTTTGGCCACTAGAGATCTGCGTTGTCAGCTCTGGCTATTCGCTGCGATGCTGCGCGTCTGTCAGTCTCTGCTCCGGCGCGGAACGTTGACTGTCGTATTAGCGGCTCATCGTGGCGGAATCAGCAGATTTTCAGTCGCCTTTTCGCTACTGAGCTGCCGCTAAACACGTTCTTTTGTGAAAGTTTACCTGTTGGAAACTCCGTGCAGCAAACGAATGCGGCCACCGACCTTAGAAAGGCCGGCACCATCGCGAGAATCGTTACCCATGTGGCCGGACGGCTAAAGCTGCTCCATCGCAGCATATGTGCCCGCCCCCGGTACCATTTTTCCTCCCCTGTGTGGCGAGTGCGACCGGCCGGCCGAAAACCTCCCGGCGTCTCCGCCGTCACGAACACGGTGAGCCGCTGCGACTATTTGCCGTCTCCAGTGGCGACACCAACCCCAGCGAACCGTGACGGTGAGGTGACGTCACCATCACACCACCACCTGCCGAAGCGGTACAGTCGGTGACGTCATACCTGGTCGGCTGGCACCGTCCGGTGGTGACTCGGCGCACGGTGGCGTGGTGTATGACGTCATCGTTCTACCTGTATCCGTCGCTGTTTTGCTCATTGGCCAGCTGATTGGAGGTGCTAACAGCGTAAGTTATCGGTCATAATCCGACGATCCGCTATTGTATTTGCTCTTCCTTACCTATATTTACAGAAGTCGTGACTGCCGAGTGGTGACTCACTGATAATAAATGACTTGCATGAAAACAGTAGGCGTGCGTGGAGAGGGACATGGAACACCTTCCAGAATCCTGACAAGGTCGCTCGGCGGGCTCAGGCAGCGGCTGCCGAGTGACGTCACCGCACCGGGGGCTGGTGACGTCACCGGTGGAGAGACGGCCGCGCTGAGTCAGCTGATGGGGGCAGGAAGGGCGTCTGTCAGTCTGTTGGGCGTGATTCTCCTCCAGCGCGTGACTGAGGTGCTCCCGCACGGCTCCGGAGCGATGTCACACCATATAAACTGTAGAACAGACGCGAAAGACGCCTCCGCGTGACACACATGCGCTGTTGGACTGGGGGATGAGTAACCGGTGCCGATACACTGCCCGGTAAACCGGCCACCTGTACCGGCTTCAACCGGTATGGCTTCGTCCGCCCCAGTGGAGCACCTACAGATGCATTGGTGCCAAATAACCACTGAGTCGTGCGCCCTAGAGACCCAACAAGCATACAAACAAACATTCAGGCAGCTACCCTGTGAGCACCGGATCCCCCATCCGCTCCGCGTGCACCTCACGTTACGGCTCCATAGCCCGTCCGGTGTGCCAGGCAACCGAGTGGTGTGACTCGTAATGGGTGTTTGGTATTGGAGCGGCCGGATGGGGTAGGGGAGAGGGGTGTTATGTGGGTACTGGAAGGGGAGGGGAGGAGGGTGCCCTACTGTGTGTGTGGCGTGACACTGGTCAACGGAAGGCGACCGGAATGGTAACTGGGCGTTGGTAACGGCGCGTCGACTTATTTTATTTCATTCATTCCAAAAGCTAAACAGTTAAACACATTGACGGTAGTCTTCATTCATACAATTACTCACACGTTGTTATGCAGTGAACGCATGAACATCATGCGTCATGAATGGGTGACGTCAGATTCCAATGATGGTCGACCGAGCGGCGTAACAGCACCTGTATTTGTGGGCGACCCTGCGGTGCCGTTTGTAGGTGTGGGTGTATGCTGTCCCACTTAGATGTGGACGATGTGGTCCAGTTCGGTGCTCTGTTGAACTCCGTCCATGTCGGTCTTCTACTGCCGCCCGGCTGTTTAAAAGCAAGATCAATAATGATGTTGAAAGAAGTAGAGGATGAAAGATCTCACCGTTCCGGAAGTGTCGGACAGGCTGGTCGTCGGGCGTTGCACCGCGGTTCTTTTTATCACCGTTTGATGGTGCAGAACCGGGTGGGGCAGGAACGGAAGGGTGGACCGACGTATGGTATATTGAGGGACCGACCGTCTGCCGGTGCGGCGCCACTCCTTGTAACTTAACGGCCGCTTCATGGCGTCATCGCCACTTCTTATGACATCACTGCCACCAGCAGTGTTGCCAGACATCGACAGACTTGTTTGGATCGGAACGACATCAAACGGGAGTGGGAGGCAGTGCTTTCGTCTATCACTATCATTCGTCTATCACCTCGTCTGTATACCCCACTCGTCTATCCCTCGTCTGTCAGTTATTTTTTTCGCAATAGGTGTGATACCTTATAATGTAACTCCAGGGGTGATGCTGACGACTTACACCGCCTACCCACTGCTCGTGTTTGTTGTGTTGGAGTTGTCTGTGCAGTGTCACGATGATATTTCTGCTCCCAGGTGACCGCCGCGATGGAGACTGGCATGCAACATAGTCTGTGCACACCATTGTGTGAGTGTGGACTGTCACGGTTATATTTCTATCCACAGGTACCCGCTGCGGCAGACGATGACGAGGGCCACCGTGTGTGGTGTGTTGCTGTAAACTGTGGGGTATTGACCGTTGATTGACACCCTGCTATTTCTGTCCATAGGTAACCGCGGCAGCAGACGATGACGAGGGCCACTGTCTGTGGTACGGCAGCTGCGGCCCGACCACCCTGTTCGGCGCCCACTCCAACTGTCCGTACACGGGGCCGGCCAAACCGCTCACCGATCAGAAGTCCATCGATATTCTGCGCGACACATGCCCGTTCCTCTTCGAAGGAAAAGGTGAGCGCCATTGGGGTCTGCGGATTGAGGGTTGGTTACTGGTTACATCGATCAGTGAAGGGAGCACCGATGACCGAGGATCTTTCCTTACTTGCCCAGTGTCTCTATCGTGTGGAAATGATGATCACTGATGTTGCCGCTAGTTTTAGACTGGACTGTTCAGTTATTTGTCCGATCACCGGTCCAGCCGGCTGCAGACTGGCGTGCCTAGCTCAAAATCGGTGCTGCTGTGTTTGAAACCTGCCGGCCCTACCGATGCCACCCTATCTAATCCGTGGCCCTGCTCTCTCCCCCAGACGGGTCTGGCCCGCTCAACACGTGCTGTGACGGCGACAACATCAAGGAGATGGCCTCCTCGCTGGTGCTGGTCTCCTCCCAGTTCGCGCGCTGCCCCGTCTGCTACTACAACTTCCGCAAGTCCATATGCGAGATGTCCTGCTCGCCTAGGCAGTCCACCTTCATCAACGTCACCGAAGTGAAACACGATCGGGCGACAGGTGAGACGAACTGACCTGAGCTGAGCTGGGCTGAGCTGACCTGACCTGACCTGACCTCACAAAACACCACTGACTTTGGGCTAGCCGTCAGATGTGTCTATTTACGCAGGGCGGTTTGAATAAAAATAAGTTTCTGACGGCATTTTGGGTTTGAACGACACATCGGCCGCATGGATTTCTGGCTGGTTTCCTTGAATTTCACGCCCACAAGCGCTTACATCTTCCCCAGCCTGTGTGATTATTTAAATATCATAAAATTTCGAACTAGCATGGGAGCGGCCGAGCGTGTCTAACTTTTCGGGTGGCCTGTCATCCCGTGTCCAGTACCGGATTCTGCCCCTTATAGTCGCTGTAATGACCTCCCTGGTAGGTAGCCCGCAGCAGCGGCCAGATAATGAGATCTCCAGCTGCTCGGGGCGGGCGGCGGGGAAGGAATATTAGGCAACTGTTCGGTGAAGTCGGGAACTAATATCGTCACCCGGCGGGGAGGGGAATCAGATGACCTGGCTGGGAGACGAGGTGCCGCCCGGTCCCTGAGACTTCTCGGATTCGTCGACGAGGCTGTTGGAACTGATAAAGAGTTTGGGGTGCTGACTCTGAGAGAATCTCCTTGTTAGTTGCTGGATGCACCCCCTTTCGAGCCCAACATTGTGTGCTGGTGGTAGACCGTCCGTTTATGTATCTCCGGGGATCTTCAGTGTTTGGTCACCCTCCCCACCGCCGCATTTTCTGGGTGCCAGTTTCAGCACCTCTGACGCTCCCTCCCTGTAAGTGCTGACCTGGTCGGCCGCACCCGACAGCCCCGCCGGAGCCGCGCCCTGGTGAGGCTGCACCTTCCGTACACGGTGGGCCGCACCGGCCCGCACCCCAACAACTGTTCTACCCCTCTGACCCCTACGTGCGCGGTTAGTCGCCTGTGATCTACCCTGAGACACGTGACACTGACCTGACCCTTCTACCCACTGTCGATCCTTTCCTGACCTGCACTGTCCCCCACTGACCTCTCTACTAACCCCTTCTGACCCTGTTTTGACCCCTGCTGACAATCTCTGATCCCTCCTGCCCCCTGCTGACCCTTTCTACCCTCTCTGTCCGACAGATAAGGACTATGTCGCGCGGGTGACGTACTACCTGAGTCGTAACTACACCCGTGGCGTGTACGACAGCTGCTCCAAGGTGCAGAATTCGCAGACAAACTCACCGGCAATCGGTGCCATGTGCGGACAGTGGGGCTGGTACCGCTGCAACGACGAACGGTGAGTTACACTCGACGGCAGACTTCACTGTCTACAGACACGACCAGGTAGACCAAGCCCAGTATCGTGTCCATTTTGACACGCCGTTATCCCCTGAGGTCCACTCAGAGTCGTCCGTATCCCCTGCGGCCGTCTCGAGGCCACAGGGTTAACTCTGTCGTCATCCCACCTGTGACGTCATCGTCGCCGTCGGCCGGCCGCGCTGGCAGGGCTCCCGGGACCCGGGGAGCCAGCGGCGGCGGCAGCCAACTCGACACGGCGCCTGTCGGTGGCGGCCGGGCGGGTGGGGTTGGAGCGGGGAGAGGCCGGGGTTGGGCGGAGGCGCTTTGTCGCTGTCAGCTAAATGGATCCCGATGGTTCTGAGTTCGGTATCAATCAGTATAAGCATGGGCGCAAAATGACCTCGCAGTCGGCGCGCCCCTAACCCACAACAATCAGTAACAAACAACAATCAGTATTAGCTATTGCGATTTTTTTTTAGAATAGATTAATGAATGTGTGTCTAACTGTCTAGCGTGTCTAGACACATTTATCAATATAACGTGCCTACCAGAATGCCATCGCTGCCTAGATTTGCTCTCACAGTCCCCGGCCAAATCGTTGTGACCCGAGACTGCGTTTGATCAACGACCTCAGTCTTCACCCCCGTACCCCCTTGGGCCGATTTAGGCGTGTGGCTCGACGCACTTGGCAAATTGAGTGTTTCTAACACAGCACCGTGATGCTCCTTCCTCAGGTTCTACGACTTTCTCGGCCACAACCCGTACACGCCGTTCCCGATTGACTATCAGCTAACGGAGGATGGTGACGATGTGTCTCCGTACACACCGCTCAGCCCCGAGATCCAGACGTGCAACGAGACCTTCCAGACGCCGACCGGGGTCAGTATGAGCGGAGCTCGGGGTAGGGGGAGTGTGAGCCGGAGATGGGACTACAACTGCTACTAAGTGACTTTCATTCTGCCCATTTAAAACCTCGCGCTAAATTGTTAAAAAAGCGGAGGATGGGGACGGTGACGGGACTTGAAGCTGGCATTGCCTAGAACTTATGTCTGGATTGTTTTCTTCAGGTGTAAACCTATTTCATCCCATATTTTGCTGTGTCTCACTTTCCCACACACTTACAGTAGCTTAACTGTGTTCGTTTTACCCTCGCCTCCAACGCACGCTTATCCCCTCGTTCTCGCAGAAGCGTATCGAGGCGTGCAGCTGCTCCGACTGCCCGGTGTCGTGCCCTGTGGCGCCGCCGATCCCGGCCCCGCCCGGCGACTGGATGATCGGCCCCGTCTACGGCTCCGTGGTCGTGATGGCCGCAGTGTTTGTGGCACTGGCTGTGCCGTTCGTCTGCGTGTTTGTCTGCTGGTACTCGCGCAACAGAGGTCAGTCGCCGCCCTGGGGCGGGGATGTCATAGTTACGAGCTTGGCTCACCACCCACCCACAGACTTGATAGACATATGTTGTCTATTAGACATTGAAGAGGCCATCCTTGACCCAATGTGTGCGTCTGTGTGGTTGAATGTAGGTTATAGTCTTGCTTCGTTCTACTGTCGTCCGACTAATCGTGTTCGATTTTGTCGTAATCCGTCCCGCCCTACCCCGTGGTCCATTTACCGTGCCTGTCCCGTCATGCCCCTGCATGCTGTCGTGCTTTCGTCCAATCCTAGTCCATCGCGTGGTGGTCCTGCTCAAGTGATGCGCATAACCTAAGAGCGGTGCGGTAACACAGAGTGGTCGCCGGTCCTGCTCTCGGCCGGCGCCCGGGCCGCCGGTGGGGGCGGCAGACTGGAGTCTGTTCCCGATGTGGAGATCCGCCGACTGAATATCGCTGCCGCCGCCCGGGAGGCACTCGCCGGCCGGCCGCGGCCAGAACTGGCTGTTTACACCAGTAGGTGGAAGACAATCAGGTCTTCCAGTGTGTGCCAGGGACGCTCAGATCCTCTAGTGTGTGTGCCGGGGACGCCGGTTTTCCATTGAGCCGAGTTGAGTGCTGGATCTGCAGTGTTGGGGCCCAACCAGCGCCTGTGCCTGTGGTGGATGTCGCCAAGGTTCTATAGCATGCCGGTAGTCACTGGTTTGAAGTTTTATTGGGTCTGCTGACGCCCCGTTGGACTAAGTTACAGGGAACTGCAGCAGCTGCTGCAGGGGCTGTGTTGAGCCGGAACTTCTGAGACCCGTCTGTGTGGGTTGACGTGTGTTTGTTTGGGTCTATTTCGGGCGGTGACTTCGGTGGGGATAGATTCGCTGTCTACAACGAACCCATGGGAGAAAAGGTGCAGCTGCGGACGGCTGAGACGCCACGGCTCCACTGACACCAGCTGGGGAATATGGATGACTATGGTTTTGTTTCAGGGAATCTTCAGGTTGATCTTGGTTGTTTGGTTTGATGTTTATTTGAGTGTTTGCTTGCTTTTCTATAGGCTGTGATGGTGGATTAGCGTTGGGGTTTTTGGTTATGTGAGCGCGCTATGGCAGGGGAGGGAGGGTCAAGAAAATCTGGTGTAGGAAGTGTGAGGTGGCTTGAGTTGCATGTCTCAACGGTGCTGCCGTGGGGGTGATGCCCCTCATCCCTTCCCAAACAGCGTAGGTATGACTCGCAAGTTTTCGATACATTATCACTGATTTGATGTGCTACTGTTACGTGCTGGCATCTGTCAGTATCGTTCCCCGTTTATCGAACGAAAGCTTTTCACGGGCATACACATTCTATTTCAGGTCGACATTGACTTCCAGCAATGTTGCAATAACAACTGCTATTGGTTTCCATTGTCAACTACCCATTAGCGAAAGTCTCCCTCTTTCTACTGCCGCCACTCTAACCAGCCCCGTTCCCCGCTCTCAGTATCTGCTCCTCTGGATGACCGTGACAAGTCTGGCAGTCCGCACGTGGACATCACTCAGGCCTCGTGTCTGGAGCGCTGGGGAGCCATCATGGAGCGAAACGTCGAGCAGTTCTTCCGCTCCTGGGGCACCTGTGAGTACCGGAGGACTGGGGAGTGAAAGAAGACGATCGGATGCTGTAGATTCTTATTTCAATGCACTATGGGCATAGGATCAGCGTCGGTGGGGCGTGTGAATCTGTTTATCATGGTTGCATATGTTACTCTCTTTTTTGCAAAGGAAGACGTTACTGCTCACAAAGAGTTTCAATAAATTCTACTCCGTTCGTTGTGTGTGTGTGTGTGTTTTTTTTTTGCGATTCGGTCTACGAGTATGTCCCTATGCGTCTGGCACCTGTTATGGTTACCGCTCGCATTGTGTGACCATCGCATCCGTCCCGTGTTCCAGTCTGTGCCATGCACCCGGTGCCGATCCTGATCATCGGCCTGCTGGTGGCCGTCGGCCTGTCGTTCGGTGTGGTCAAACTGAAGGTCACCACCGACCCGATCGAGCTGTGGGCCTCACCCACCAGCCGCTCCCGCGTCGAGAAGGACTACTTCGACCAGAACTTCGGGCCCTTCTACCGGACGGAGATGCTCATTATCCGCGCCAAGGATCTGGAGCCGGTTAGTGGGGAAGAACGGGAACCGCGGGTGGACGTTTCAGCGGACGAATAGTGGGAAGAACGGGTTTGCTCGAGTAGGAGCGAGTTGGATGGGTGGATCGAGGCTGGCGGAGTAGTTCAGGATGTGGTGTCGCTATTCGCTGCTAAAGGCAGGCTACCCGGATCTCCAAGATGTGAGCCATTAGCTAATGTTGGAGGTATCTTTGGCATACCTATGCAGCGGTATATTTAGCGATCCCTGTCGTGGTTGGCACTCAACATCCGACCCTCGACCAATGACGCTAACCCTAAAATCCCGTCCCATGATATTCTAACTCTCCCTTCCTCTGATCTCTACTTTTCTCTTCTACCCATTCTGATCTATCCCCGACCCTATGCCGCTCCGACCTCCGACCCCAGAGCTCCGACCTCCGACCCCTGAGCTCCGACCTCCGACCCCTGAGCTCCGACCTCCGACCCCAGAGCTCCGACCCCAGAGCTCCAACCCCAGAGCTCCGACCTCCGACCTCTGCCCTATAACACAGCCGAGAGCCGGCCGCCGGCCGCCAGCACACGCGATATTGATCGGTGCCGCGCCGGCTCTTCAACCGGGGCGTGGCGCCACCGGAGGGGGGATTCCGGCTAGCCTAGGGATGGCTGTCCTGTCGGATGGGGGGGGGGAGGGGGCTGATAAAGTAGGGCTGTCCCTGTATTGACAGATGAGACATGGGTTCCGATGGATATTTGGCCAGAATGTGGGTCATGGGTGAACATCGATTTTTTGGGGGGAGGGGGGGGGGGGTTAAGCAGCTGTTAGTTTAACCGCCGTATTTCACACCGTTACAACTGTCTGCGATACAGTTCATGATACCGCCATCATTCCCCTTGCTGCTGCCCCCGGTCGGCCTCTTTTCGTATGGAGTATATGTTTGTGACGTCACGCCGCCGTTCTGCCGTCAGTTTAACCACACAAACGAGGGCGGTACCACTGAGTTCGGGCCGGCATTCCACAAAAACCTACTGTCGGCAGTAATGGAGCTGCAAAACTACATTACAGATAATGTGAGTACTCGGCGCAGTCGGATGGGCTGCTGCCTACTGCAGCCGCATCTCTGATAGTGTCACTCATTGCCGTAAAAGTGGGTTGGGACACTTGATCCTATGCCGCGAGCATTCTGGAAATAATAAAATGTGTGCGATATGCTGATGTCTGGTGGGATATCTTTGTCAGTAGTACGATTTACTACTTCTCACGTCGTCAACAGCTTCATTCTCTGTTCTGGTACTGTGTCATTGTACTTACCATCAGGGGCGTCGTTTTGTATAGGCCTGGGAGTGCCCGAGCACTACCAATATTCAGCTGAGCACTACCAATGTGTTGTTGAGCACTACCAACATTTTTCTTCACTTATTGAGAAAATTGCATTCAAACATGTCATACAAATAAAATGAATGAGGTTCTTATGTATAAAATCAACATGATAGCAAGTAACTTCAATGGTAAGTGGTAACTATTGATGAAAATCTATAGACTTACTCCACAAGTAGATTGAATTTGAATTGGTTGACCAATTCAATCTTCTTGTAGCGTACCTAAGTCCATAAATTTCCATCAATACCTAGGTATCATTTTCACTTTCCACATCATGTCATTACGTCAAGTAATTTCAAGTTATGTGGTACCTACCTACTACCCTACCAAGTTTCACAGTAGTCAGGGGCGTCGTTTTGTATAGGCCTGGTAGGGCCCGAGCCTTACCAATGTTTATTTGGGCCCTACCAATGTTCGCTGAGCCCTACCAATCTTTTGTCACTTATCAGTTGATAAAAAATCAAAATAAACAGATAAGCAAATACACCTTTTTGCACTCAAAATAGGCATCTTTTCATTCAATTTCGGCGAATTGCATTCAATTTTAGCGATCTCTCTATTCGAAACAAATGAGAGATCGCTAAAATTGAATGCAATTCGCCGAAATTGAATGAAAAGATGCCTATTTTGAGTGCAAAAAGGTGTATTAAATAAGCACATATGCAAGTACATAAATAAGGTTCTAGCCACAGTAGGTGCATGTAGCTGACAATGATGTTTCACGTGTCTAGGACTCCGGTCCTTAATGGATTTTAAGAGGCTCGAAAACGCAATTGGTTATAGAGGTCCATAACTGCCTCTGAGTCCCGCATACCACGCGACCGCCCCTAATAGACCCCGATCCGTCTCCACACCAGCCGCTGGAGGCCCTACACCGACTTCGGAAGGTGCCGCGGTGCTCCAGAATAGGCCATAGGTATATTGATTTGAGTGGGTGATGCAGCCTGATTCCCCAGGGTTCAACGCCAGGTCATTACCGCATCAGACCCCGAAAACTGAAGCTCGTAACTACGAGGGGCGTTCAAAAAGTTTCGGGCCGAACAATGAAGGAGTTGGAATTTTGGCCTGCAAGGCGGTGTGTTAAATGATGTGTTATTGGGATGTCCACTTACGCAAATTAAGTAAGCGGCCATTAATTAAGTCTCTTCTGTGATTGATTCGGGCTTCTATTCGTAGCATAGTTCGCCATTTCGGATAGGATGGGCGACGCCCAGAAGAGAGCAGTGATTCGTTTCTCATCTCATCTCATCTCATATATTTAACACATTCATTCGAACAGACAATCAGTGTCGCTTCGATTGGCGCAAAAGTGCCGGAGCACTTAACTCTGGGCGCCTCTCGAGTTCGCACAATCACACTGGGTGCCGCCCACAGCCTCGCAGCCGCTGCCCGCCACCGCGCAGACCGCTCTCAATAGATGTAAAGGCGCCGGCGCCGAGGGCAGCGCTCTGTGACGACCGGTGTCAAAGGACTGGGCGCTAGGGATAGGTGGCAGGATGGGAAGGAGAGGCAAAACGTTTGGTGGCATGGATGAATTGGTACACCGCTCGTGCTACCTCGAATTCGTCCCTGGGTCGTACCGTATTACCGTGTAGTATGAAGTCTAGTTGTTCCTTTTGTGATAAATTGTGTATGTCAATGCCTGTTATACCATTTATTATGTTTGTCATTCTCTCTCTTTCTTGTGTGTACTTTGGACATTTTAGTAAGTAATGTCCTGTGTTCTCGTTAGTTCTGCCTTGGCAGTGGTTGCAATATGGAGATTCAGTTTTTTGTATTTGAAATAAATGGGATTTTAACTCTGACATCCCAACCCTTAGACGTGTTAGAAGTGTATTTTCCATTTTCGAACCATAAATATAATACTTTGGTGGTTTTTCTATATGTAAGTGAGACTTGAGATGTTTTTTAAATGAGAATAAAGTTCTAGTCTCTCTCAAGTTCTGTGGCAGTTCATTTATTAGTTTAATTGTACTGGGAAGAAACGAGTTTTTCAGTAGACAGGTTTTGGGATATATTTCCCTTCTGTTATTAGAGTTGCGAAGAAGTCGGTTGTTATTTCTTCGATCAGGGGGCAATAGTTGTTTGATATATGTTGGAGTATCGTCGAGCGTCAGTCGTTGGAAAAATACTATCTTATGCATTTCACGTCTTTTCTTTAATGAAGTCCATCCTAGTTCTCGTCTGAGATTGTCTGTCGGAGTTCTAAATAATGTCGCAGTCACAAGTCTGGCCCCTCTGTTCTGAAGTGTTTCAAGTCGTAAAGTATCGTGTGCTGTTAGCAGTCCGTCGTAAATGATGTCCGCGTAGTCAAAATATGGCAATACATGTGTCGTATATATTTGTTGCAATAAGGTCCTGGGCAAGTAGGAAGCGATACGATAGAGTGGGCTAAGGGCAATGTTAACTTTTCTGATGATGTCGTTGATGTGCTCGTGAAACCTAAGGTCGTTCGATATTGTCAATCCCAGGTGTTTATGATAAGCAACAACTGGGATGGGCATGGCTGCAAATGTTAGTTTTGGTGGGATTTTCTGTTTACGTTTTGTGAAATGCTGTTGGAGAGTTTTCCTTGGGTTAAATTGTATCATCCAGTTGTCACCGTACTTGTGGATTTCATTTAGATCTCTTTGAAGTGAGCTTTCAACTGTTTCTCTATTATTAGGAGAGTGTGGGGCTATCAGACAAGCATCGTCGGCGAAGAATAGCATTTCATTTTCGGTTTTTGTTGAAAGGTTATTTAAGTACATTAAGGCTAAAAGGGGGCCCAAAACTGAACCCTGAGGGCATCCCGCTTGAAGTGGTCGGAGCGAAGATGTGGAATTGTTTATTACTACGCGTTGATGTCGATTTGTTAAGTATGAAGTTAGCCATGGTATAAGGTTTGCCAGACCGAATTCATGTTCACATTTGTGGAGAAGGCCCTTGTGCCAAATTTTCTCGAAATAGCGGCTGATGTCCAGATAGATAATGTTATGGTCCTTTCCGTCGTCAAGGTTTTCATATGACGAATGGGTTAAGTAGAAAAGCTGCAACTGAGTCCCATGTCCGGGCCGGTAACCGCTTTGCCGCTCCGTTAGTAGGTTGTGTACAGTTATGTGGTTGTAAATACGTTTGAATACTATTTTTTCAAATATTTTCGAGATGCAGCTTAATAAACTGATGGGCCTGTACCCTTCTACATCTGCTGGACTACCTTTGTTTTTAAAAATTGGTTTCACGTTTGCAATTTTCCAGCTCTTTGGGTACTGGCTTGTGTCGATAGACTTATTGAACAGTTTTGAAAGTGGTTCAGCGAGAATAACTGCCGCTAACTTTATTATTCTTACTGGTACCTCATCGGAACCGGTTGATTTATTTACATTTAATCTATTTATTATACTTAATACTTCTCGTTCTGATATTTTGGCCGCCCTTAATAATGGGACTTCTGGATAGTCCTGTGGCTGAATCACTCTCGTTTCGCTGTCTTCAAGATGTGATTGGGCGGCAAAATATGCATTTAATAAATCAGCTTTCGCCTCATCATGTTCTATTAAGTTGTTACTGTTATTATTGTTATGCAAAGGGGGAATATGCGAAGATTTTGTTTTCCCAATCATTTTCCTTATGATTGAATGGTACTTGTGTGGGTTGTGTTTCATTTGGACAAGTAGATGTCCTTCTTTAATAAGATAATTACGCTTTAATTTGTGTACCATTGCTGTAACTTGGTTACGGCAATGCCTCCATCTATTCCACTGCAATTTATTTAAACTGTCATCGGCACTGTTTTCTCTTCGAGCTACTCTAAATAGTCTGTCCCTTTTTCTCATCAAACGTTTCAGTTCAGCAGTTACCCAGGGTTTATCTTTTGGTCGGGGGGACACTCTCTTCTTGGGAATACTTTTTTCAGCTGCTTTCATTAGTGCAGAAGTGAGCAATTCGGTAGCGGTGTCTATGTCGTTGTCTAGAATACCGTCCCAGTCCGTTGTCATAAGTTCGTGCGTCAGTCGTTGGGAGTCGAGTTTGGAATAGTCCCACACCACCTTGTGTCGCGTCAAAGTTTCTTCTACCCAGTCGTTGAGGGTTACATATATTGGACAGTGGTCTATGGAGGAAAACGGTGGCAATACTCCGCTGTCTATGACGCTTTCCCGGTCGGATACCAGGCAAAGGTCTCTGAGATTCGCGATACTGCCCACGTAACGCGTCGGCTCGTTTATGAGTTGGGTAAATGATAGGGACTCAGTGGTTTCCTTTAATTGTTTCTCAAATTTAGTGATGGGAGTGTGATTTTGCAGAGGATCTTGCAAGAATGAATTACCGGCGTTGAAATCTCCCATTATTATTATCACGGACGGGTTGTACTTCTGAGCTTTAAAGACACTTTCAGAGAAGTTACTCAAAAAAGTTTCTAAGCGCTCAGTTGGTAAGTTTGGGGGTAGGTAGAGACAGCATATAAGAACAGTTAATTTTTTTAATTTGGTTTTCGCCCAAACCCACTCTTCCTCTCCGACTTCGAGATCTGGTAGCCTTGTCGCTGCCAGAGACGTGTGGAAGTATAATGAGACACCTCCTCCGTGCCGGTTTCGGTGTCGAGTGAAGGGAGCATGAAAGCTTCTTAGGGTATAAAGACTAGGATGTATTTCTTCGTTCAGCTTTGTTTCTGAGAGACCCAGAATGTTTATGTTGTTGTTAGCTACAAAGTATTCTAACTCGTCCTGTTTAGTTCCTGCTGTTATGCTGTTTATGTTCACGTGAGCCATATTAATTTTGTGACGTGTTTTGCCCGAGCTTACCGTACACGAATCAGAGTGTCCGATGATACGTGTACGATCAGAGGATTCGTCCGAGGCGGCACGAGCGGTTCGGGAAATATGGCTGCTGACCCGGCCGTCCAGACGCGCCCCCAGCGACTCACCCGCAACGCTACGGTTATCCATGACGAGCAGCCGCCGAAGGCGCGGGCGGGCACCCACCACGACGTTACCCTCACAGTCACAACATCATTATCGCAACATCCTAGAGTGAATAAGGCACATAAATGAACAAAGAACATCAGATACACGCTAACAAAAAAGAAACACACACAAAAACAAAAACAAAAAACATGCAACGTGTAAACACCCTAATCCACCTTACATACATGTTACGCTTACATGAGCTGTTTCTGTGCTTTAAACCGTAAATGGTTCGATTATTCCGAAATGCGATCTCTATGGAGAAAAAAAAACATTTACGCTAAATGTGAACCTACTGAACCCACTCCCCAGATCCCAATCGGTCCGTTCTTTCACAGGCACTCTGGAGTCAGTGTTGAGCTGCGGGACGCTACGGACCTCACCTCACCGTGATGATGGTGTCCAAGAATCCACGGCTGGATGGCGGTAGGCACTCGGTGTTCTCTCTCATTATACCGGTCAACGCACTCAGTTTTTCCGGCCCCCGCGCCCGCCACGCTCACGCCCGCGTCCCGACCCGGAGCCCTCCACGGGCCGACTGCCCTTCGAACGGGGCGGGCCGCCGCTCCCACCGACCGGGGTCGCGGCCGCGGCAGCGGCGGCGTCAGGCGCCGGGCGTCGGGTGGGCGGCTTCCTGGTCGAACGACGAGATCCTCCGCTCCGGTCTTCCGTCACGTCGTCTCGTCCGCGGTCGGGAGAAGTCTCGCCGTCGGTGTCGGAGATGTCTCGCTCGGTGCTAGCCCCTGGATCCGCCCCTGCCGGGCCGGCCTCGGCGGCAGCTCTCTCACGCCCCGGCTCCAGCGCCGGCGCACGGGCGGAGCCAGGACCGCGACCGTGGGGGCGGCCGAGACCGGAGGGTCCGGCGGCTTGCTGAGGCCGCAGAATGCCGTCCGCAGCGTCGAGGGCGGCGTGGTCTCCCACCAGCCTTCGGAGGTCTGCGGCGCTGCGGACGATCTTCGTGGGACTGTCACGGCCTCCGGTTTTCACTTTCATCTTGCCGGAGTCGGTCCAGCAGCTGCCGATGCGGCCCTCTCTTTTCAGTTCACGGGCCGCGAACATAACGGCGCTGTTGTACCTGGTGAGGTTGTCGGCTACGAAGACATCCTTAAGCATTCGCCTGGTCAGCATGCTGTCGTTGGGAGGTGCGGTGTCTCGCAGGTTCTTCCTCTCTCTGTAGAACTGGTCCCTCTTCGTGTGGGTTACGAACCGCACCACGATCGGGCGGGGTTTCCCGTTGTTCGGACGGCCGAAGCGGTGGGCGGCGTCTATGTCCCCGGGGCGTATGTCCACATCCAGGATTCGTCCCAGCTCGACAACCATACCAGCAGGGGATTCGTTCTGGTGCTCGTGGAGGCCACTGATTACGACATTGTTCTTACGGCTGTACTGCTCCAGCTCGTTGATCGCAATGTCGCGCTCGTAGGCAGCTTCACGGAGAGAGGCAAGCTCCCTGCTAACAATGGGCAACACCACCTGCTCCTGGAAAATGGAGATCACTTCTGGGTCCTTCAAACTCTCCTTGAGAGCTCTCACGAGGTCTGGCAACGCCATGGTGAGTAGCCCGCCCGGCACTAGTCACACGATAACGCTATCACTGTGTGGCACACGCTGGCTCGAACGCTCGGTACGCCTCTGCGCTCGTCTGAGGTCAGGCGGCTGCGCCAGCGGCACACGACCGGACCGGGCGGCGGTCAGTCGAAGACTGACCGCCGTAGTTTCATAGTAGTTAGTGCAGAAAAGGCACCAAGCGTTAACCCTCGCCCTGGGCATTTTTCATAACACGGCCTGGCAGGGGGGAGGGGTCGATGCGACCCCCTCCGCTCGTCAACTTTCCAAAACAGGGGCACACAATTGATGATGTGCGTCCATTCGATAAACATCGAGGAGAGGCTATAGGGAAGCTGACGTAAAGTGTGCACCTGATCCGCGACCACGCACCTGCGTACATGGGCGGGATGACGAACAGTGAAGCGATGAGCTTCGAGTTGTTGTCGCATCCACTTTGTTCTCTCCGAACCTTGCACACTCTGGTTAGTGGTTGCCACCTCTTCCCCAACATAAGAAAATTAGCAGCGGCAACCTCGCTAACAGCAGGGAGACGAAATCAGCCGTCTTGGACGTGCAGGATGGGTCCAAAACCCACTTGGTTATGGAGGCCTTGAGGGCTCTCGCGAAGCGCTGCGCGAAACGTGTTTGTCTTAACGGTGTTTATTTGAATAAATGAACTTTTTGGTCTAATGAGTCGATGCTGTATCTCTCTGCTCCTTCATGGTCGGGCCCGTAGCTTTCTGAACGCCCCTCGTACTGTCATCCTTTTATTTTGGCAAGCAGGTCTTTCTAACTATCGTTGTGTTTCCAGTCCTCGCTAGTTGTCGAACCCTTCAATTGGCGTGGGTCTTCAAAACCGTTCCTGGCCCCGCAGCCGTCTTTTTTAGTCGGCTTGGGCCCTCAAAGCTGTTCCTGTCCCCTTTCAGCACAGCCGTCCTTTTAAGTCGATGTGGGCCTCTTTCAGAATGGCGTGCATTCCTCCGACACTATTGCCTATATAACTGCACGTTTTGTGCATGGCGTCCGGTGTGGACCCAGATTTCCAAAGTTTTTTTTTGTGTTTTTTTTTTTTAGATTTCGGTTAGTCTTGTCAATGACCAGGGCGAAAAATAAGTGACCGAAATCCGATGAGAAAGGCAGATTTGGGGGTACCCTACCTTGTAAGCCCCGTCATATATGGCCAGCCGCCGCCTTTGGGCACTACCAATCATTTTCGGAAAACGACACCCCTGCTTACCATTACCCTCCGCTCTGTGTTTCCCCCTCAGATCACGGCACAGTACGAGAACCGCACTGTACGTCTCAGCGACATCTGCTTCAAGCCGCTCTACCCAGACAACGCGTTCTGCGCCATCCAGTCTGTACCCGAGTACTTCCAGGACGACCCGGCGCTGCTCAACCTGACCAAACAGGACGGAAACTACACCATCAACTACCTGGACCACATCAAGTACTGCCTGCTGAACCCCACCGAGATGCAGGACCAGGACTTTGACTTCCAGCCGTGCATGTCCAAGTGGGGCGGCCCGACGTTCCCCTACACGGCGGTCGGCGGGTTCCTGGGCGAGGGCCAGTCGCTGAGTGGCAGTGTGCATTACCTGAACGCCACGGCGCTGCTGGTTACCTTCCTGGTCAACAACGACTACGACGCCAGCCGACTGGGGCCGGCCATGGCCTGGGAGCAGGCGTGAGTAGAGCGCGGCGGGCGAGGAGGGACGTTAATTTAGAGGGGTTATAGACACGGCTAATTGGGTCGGCTCCTGTTTGGGTTTGTCTAGACCCCGCCTTTTGCTGGTTTTGCATCTGAATAGTGGTAAAGGACAATGCGATTATAGGTCACCTAACTTTTTGAAGGCGTGATTTCAATCGTGATTAGCGGTTTTAATTTACGCCATTTTTACCTCCAATGTTTTAAACCGCGTTAACTTCCAGTAAGGACCCCAACCTTTGGTTTGATAGATTAATGTCTCCCCCCTTATCACAGGGTATCCGGTATATGTCATGAGGGTTCCATCTCACCATCTGTTTCCACTCCCTTTACAGATTCCTGGAGTACATGCGCAACTACAGTCACCCGAACATGGAGGTGGCCTACTTTGCCGAGCGTTCGATCGAGGACGAGATCGCCCGCGAGTCCGAGTCGGACACGACCACCGTGCTCATCTCGTACCTCATCATGTTCGCCTATATCAGCATCGCGCTCGGACAGTACAACGGATCCTCGCGGCTGCTGGTGAGTGACGGCGTGGAGGAGGTCGTAGCTGCATAATGTTCTCTTACAATGCCCCGTTCAATACGATGATTCTGGGGGCCGTGCAACGTGATTCTGAATCGCTGCAGTTCAATATTTCTACAATCCATGTAATCCATACTCGCCCCTCGTTTCTATCACCGCCTTCATGGCACCCCCGATGATTAGTTATGACGGGCTGTTTTTGAGGGCCGGCGATCTACCATGACCTCATTCCACCGATCATAAGTTGCCGGCGGTAAAAACTGGCTGAAACTGGGCCACGAACCGGCCGTCCAGACTGCTGATATGACCACTCATGGAAGGGGAACGGAAGGGGGCGGGTGGCGGGCAAAGGACCGACCCGGGTGCCATATTGAGCCGGAGTTATGTTCCCCACTCCGGCCTAACAGGGACAACTCGTGGTGTAACATGAGTCCCAAGAGGCGAATGGCATGCGACTGAGCACTTGTATGCACCATGCCGATTGCCGGATCGATCGCCCTGTTACCCAGTGTGCTACTTTGCTTGGTTCGCTGAATCTGTGGCGCTACATTAGATTGATTGCGTCTGCATGGTTGCTGTTGTCTGGAAGGGCCGGTATTCATTGGCCTCATTTCTGGAACGCTCAATGCCGACCTTCACCTCAATACGTTTCCGTTGCACAATGTAATTTAGGACTTAGCTCATACACACAATTCATATTTTTATTTCAGCTACCTCCCTGGGCGGGATTGCAGTGTGCCGTATAGCCTGTGTTTCCATTGATGGGCCACGTTCAAGCCCGGTGTTCCCAGACTGATAGGCTGCTGCCGCCGATTCTACCCCCCCCCCCCCCCCCCAACACACACATGGTTGTTTTTAGATCGATGGTCCTGACTTTTTCTGTGCTCCTTCCCCACAGATCGACAGCAAGATCACGCTGGGTCTGGGCGGCGTCATCATCGTGCTTCTCTCTGTGATGGCTTCGCTCGGCGTGTACGGCATGCTGGGCGTCCCCGGCACCCTGATCGTCATCGAGGTGATTCCCTTCCTGGTGCTGGCTGTGGGCGTGGACAACATCTTCATCCTGGTGCAGGCGTACCAGCGCGATCGCCGGCAGCCCGGAGAGTCGCTGGAGCAGTTTGTCGGCAGGATTGTGGGAGAGGTGGCGCCCTCCATGCTGCTCTCGTCGGCTTCAGAGTCGGCCTGCTTCTTCCTAGGTGGGTCTAGGGTGTGGTCACTGGTCAGGGCTTTTTTTCGTTGAGTGACTCACTTTGGGCAGAGTGAGAAGGGGGAGGTCTACTAGAGCTGGCATAGTCTAGTTTCGCTGGTCACTAGCATTTTCATTCGCATTAAATATATAGCTCATTCTGATATGGTGCGAGTGTTGCTCAAATAAATGTTCATGCTAGTACATGTTTCCGGACAACATTGGTTTGGGTGCTCAATGACTCCATTTAGCTTTAGTACACTGTCTTGTTCTCGATGTCACATGGTTAGTCTTATCTAAACGAAAGATGCAACTGGCCTAGCAAGATCCTGTTCTTGTGCTCGTTCCCCAGTCGGTCTCTGACCATTTCACTCCGTCCACCAGGCGCCCTGATCGACATGCCGGCGGTGCGGGCGTTCGCGCTGTTTGCCGGTCTCTCGCTGCTGTTCGACTTCATCCTGCAGATCACCTGTTTCATCTCGCTGATGACGCTCGACGCCAGACGCCAGGACGTGAGTCTGTCCCCCGTTTCTAGTCGATCGATGAGTTGTTCGGAACGGTCTGTAGTTTGAGCACGGAGAGAGCCGCTTATTCAGCCTGACGGCGGAGACTCTGGGATGGGCTGTTCATTGCCTTGTGTGGGGTTATTTGGTTACTTGTTCGCGCTACGCTTACCGTAGCGCGAACAAGTAACTACCCTACCCGTCCATGTAACTCTACCCTAACGGCGTCTCCTCAGACCATTGAACTGTGACTAGCCCGTGTCCTGTGCCACTCTCTGTTCTATGCCTCATCTAACACCGCCTCATCTTCCCCATCTAACCTAGCTCCGCTCTGACCGCCAGTCGAACCGGTTCGACATCATCTGCTGCGTGCACGGCTCCAAGAAGGAACACGAGCGCCAGGAGGGCATCCTCTACCGCGTGTTCAAGAACTTTTACGTGCCGCTGGTGATGCAGCCGGCCGCGCGTGCCACCGTCATCGTGGCCTTCCTCGGCTGGCTGTGCGCCAGTCTGGCCGTCGTGCCCTATATCGAGGTCGGACTCGACCGAGAGATCTCCATGCCGGAGGACTCGTACATGCTCAAAGTGTTCCAGGTGAGTGAACGTAAATATGCCGCGCAAGACTAGAACGAAACGCAGGCCACAGCTGTCCGTGGATAGACATGTGTTTGCGCGGTTATGCGTTTGGAAAACTGTCAATAAGCACCTCGGAGAAAACCTGGACTGTGTAGCGTGAAATAGTGTATGCTGTTGGGTGGAATTATATACTGATAGTTCTTGCTTGTCCTGTGTCCGCTGGACCCATATCTGACCTCCCCTCCGTCCCCTCTCTGCCGTGCAGTATCAGCAGGACTACCTGAGTGTCGGACCACCAGTCTACTTCGTGGTGCGTGACGGCCTGAACTACAGCGACGAGAACGTTCAGAACCGGATCTGTTCGACAGTCAACTGCGACCGAAACTCGGTCGGAACGCAGATCGCCATGGCGGCGCAGCAGCCGCTGAGGTCAGTGGTAGAACTGTGAGGGGCGGATGGAGGCATTCGTTTGGGAGTACGACAGTGGATGGAAGAGAAAGAAGGACGAGGAGGGACGGTGTCTGAGTGGAGGGTGGGAGCTGGATCATTGGGGAGAGTGGAAAGAAAGTAATGGAGCGTCTGCCTGTGCTCGACCGAGCTACAGCAGCTGACCTCCAGTCTACAATGTTGTGGCGTTGGTGTGTGAGATGTCTGCCGCCCAGCCTTAATCTGATCACTGACTGACCCACCCCCATCCGCCGTCAGGACGTACATTGCCAGCGCGGCCAGTAACTGGCTGGACGACTTTTACGACTGGAGCGTGTTTGGGTACGACGAGGATGGCGTGCCGGGTGCCGGCAACGGCTGCTGCTTCATCAACGTGACCACCGGCGGCTTCTGCCCCTCCAAACAGGGCAACGGTACGTTCAGGGGATGTCCCGCCAAATAGGGCAGCGATACGCCAGTGTCTAGCCCTCAGTGTCCCGCAAACAGATCAACGATGCGTCAGTGTCCCTCCCTCCAAACAGGATAACAGTACGTTAGTACATGTTCACCGTCCTTCCAAACTGGGAAACACTGCGTCAGTATCCGTCGCTCAAAACGGGGCAACATGGAACCAGTCATGGAGCCGTTACACCCTAGTTTGAATTAACTTGTCATCAGCTGCTGCTTCCATCTAGCTAAAATTCTGGCTGTTTATGTGCTCCCAGCTCGCAGCCTCTAGTCTGTGTCTCTAAATACCGTGTCGCTGTCTCTTCAGAATACCTGCCCGACTGCACCAGCTGCAACATGACGTTCAACTCGAACCACCTGCGTCCGTCGCTGCCGGCGTTCCGCGAGTACCTGCCGTTCTTCCTGCGCGACAACCCGAGCGAGACGTGCCCCAAGGGTGGACACGCCGCCTACGGAGACGTGAGTAACGCGCTAGCCTGAGGAGAAGGGAGGGAATGGAAGCTGTGTCGTCATCGACTCTAGGGCTCTAGGACAGTGTCATTCTCATATTTGATGCATTTTCTGACAGTTGACACGCATACTGCATAAATGAGCTAGCTAGAAAGACGTGTGCATGCCGCTTCTGGCGACACTTTTGTGGCCAGAATATGGCCTGATTCTCATCGCCTTGCCTAAGCCTAAGCCTACAAGGCTTGTTCCGTAGTCCGTACCATCGCATGACCCGACTTTCAACCCGTTTCCAGGCGGTGCGTGTGGTGCGGGACCCAGCCAACCGAACCAACGTGGGCGCCTCCTACTTCATGGCCTACCACGGCATCCTGAAGACGTCGGAGGACTTTTACACAGCGCTGCACTGGGCTCGCCACCTGTCCGACAACATGACGGCTGCGCTGACTGAGGCGGCAGACGACGGACGCACACATGAGGTTTACCCGTACAGGTGAGTTGCCGTGACAGAGAAGACAATATGTCGGCTATACTGAATAGTGAAGGCCGAAGGGCTGCTGATTATTGGGCTTCACTACTTGAAGCAGTGATATGTAAGCAGGATATGGATAGAGGCAGTGGAGCGAACTTTCCAATTTTGCGTATTTGAGTGAGATTTGCGTGTATGCATTGCTCGCCAATTGCGTCTTAATTTGTGTGAATAGTAGCGACTCGCCCGACTCGCCGTTGCCGCCTGAGTCATTAGCGCCCGCTCACCATCTCTGTTCGTGTCCTCTCTAGCCTGAGCTGACCGGCCATCGTCTCTTCCCACAGCGTGTTCTATGTGTTCTACGAGCAGTACCTGACCATGTGGTCGGACGTGCTGCGCGCCCTCGGCATCTCGATCGCCACCATCTTCCTGGTGTCGTTCTTCCTGATGGGCCTGGACTTCCACTCGGCCTTCATCCTGCTCATCATGATTGTCACCATCATCACTAACCTGGCCGGCATGATGTACTGGTGGAACATCTCGCTGAATGCTGTGTCGCTGGTCAACCTGGTGATGGTGAGTCGCCGCGGCTTCACATAAAATAACTTGGTCGGCGGGTTATTAGTGCGTCTGTGTATATGTATTGAAGTGAAGACTGGATGAGGACGTGGAAAAGGCAGGGTGGATTGGCATAACAGTGCATTAAACATCCCAGGGTGCATAGTTTGACTGCCGTGGGGCTCACTGGACGGAGAAGCTGCTGACGTCACTTGCGTTCTCGTTCATTTGGTTCCGGAGTTCGTAAATGTATATCGTGTCTGCGCTTGACTGAGTCTGACCGTATCTCAATGTGTCCTCGTCAGGCGATCGGTATCTCTGTGGAGTTCTGCAGCCACATCACGCGCGCGTTCGCCGTCTCCCTGGAGCCGACCCGTGTAGAGCGTGCCACCGACGCCCTCACCAACATGGGATCGTCGGTACGTTAATATTGGGAGGCGTGGGGGACATAACTTATAAAATGACACACTATACCTTTGTTTGGTCAGGGATTGTGAGGGAAGTTCTCGTCACCATGGGTTCATCGGTATGTAAATTGAGTAGGTACTAGGCACAGAGTGGCTCGACCTGTTTGTGGCTCTCTCCTGTATTAGTCGATTTTGCGTATTGGTCAGAACCTACAAACCGAGCGCGGGGAAGGTATTCAGACCCGCCGACAATTGGACTGTGAACAGGGCATTAACAGGCCGTGGCGACCTAAGCGGACGGCGGGCCGATACTGACCCTTCCCCTTGGCCGCTACTGCAGGTGCTCAGCGGTATCACTCTGACCAAGTTCGGCGGAATCATCGTGCTCGGGTTCGCCCACTCGCAGATCTTCCAGATCTTCTACTTCAGGTGAGCTCGAACGGATGGCAGACGAAAGACTGAGGATGCGGGATCTAGGTGACGTCGTTGCTGTCAAAACTCAACAGGATCATATGACTTAGCAAACGCCAGCTCGTACCACTCACTGCTCCATGTGTCAGGAATAAACGCGGGGACTACTGTAGGTTGTTAACCCGCGCCGCCTGGTGGCCTGAACTTTCCGCCGAGTGCTGGGGGGGGGGGGGGGGGCGTTTTCACGCCCCCCCGTCTAACTCGGCTCCTGGGCCACGTAGCGACACGCGGTAAGCGGCAATCGAAAGAGTGTCAAAAATAAGGACGAAAACACTTCGGTCATTTTTTGGGTCAGGTCAAAGGTCAGGTCACCAGAGGTCACCAAAGGTAAAATGTTGACTATTTCAACATTTTGGAAACTGCCAACGGCTATCTCGGGAACCGATAGAGCTACAGCGCCGCGGAAAAGCGCATTCGATAGCCCTTTTACAGACCTTTCTGAGTAATGTTCTCAGATTTGACCTCAGGTCAACGGTTTAGCCTCCAGAGGGCAAAAACTCCAAAAATAGCCGTTTTTACGAAAAACGTTTTTTCGTCAATAACTTTTGACTCATAAGCGCCATGACATTACTTTTGCCAGCATCGTGTTCCTCTCGTCGAGACGCGTCGAATGAACTATTTGTTGACCTTGAAAGGTCATTTTGAAAATTTGACCTCAGGTCAAGGTCATGACCTGACCGAAAAGGGTCATGTTGCATATCAGTCGATCCGTATCGTCGAGCTGAACACATCTGACGTGTTTTCACCGCTCTAGCACGTCTCTATCAAAAGTTATAGCCAAAAAACTGCTGGCGACCGTTCATGACCTGAGATGACCTCAGGGGCACACAGAGGGGTCACAGGTGCATTTTTCCTATTCAGTGTGTCATGTTTACCTATGAACCGATGTTTGAGAGCGTTTTGAACGATATTCGTCCAAAAGAGGCGCATTTCAATTCTCTCCCATTGACTTATAATGGAGAGGTCGCAAAATTGACCTGACCTTAGGTCACAGATATCAAAAATCCGAGATATACATTTTATACATACTGTTACTCATATCAATCGCTGAAAGTTTCAAAGTGATCGTTCAGTCGGTGTAGCTATAGCGAGCCTTTGAACTTTTTCTGAGGTAAGGTCACTTGACGTGACCTGGTGACCTGACCTTGAACGGCCTAGGTCTGAAATTTTCACAACATGTGCGAAAATGATGTAGGAACACGTGTACCAAAAACGGCGGCGCTGCGCGCCGCCGTTTTTGAGATATTCGCGAAAAACCTGAGGGGGGGGGCGTAAAAACGCCCCCCCCCAGCACGGCGCGGGTTAAGTTGTTCTTTCCCCCGTGTCCCTACACCGACAGTGATTTCTTGTTGTCACTGACTGTCACTGCTCCGCGACTGTTTGTGATCGTTGTTCCGTCACTGACCGTCCCTGCCCCTCCAGGATGTACCTGGGCGTGGTGCTGCACGGCGCCTCGCACGGCCTCATCCTGCTGCCGGTTCTGCTAAGTTTCATCGGTGAGTAGCGCCGCCAGGCCGGCACGGCGTACTACCCTGCTCCTAAATACCGCACTCTACTACCATACGCACCAACACAAATATACATTGAGGCACACTGAGCTGACTAAAATCAGACTAAATACTAGCGCTGAAAACTCTCAATGGGAATGGCGAACAGGGAACAGCACTGACGACGGAGACTGGTTCAGCGGCCAATCAACACGAGGGCGGGTGGCGGCCGGTTCAGGATGGGTCACTGCATCGGGAGCTAACCGACACGGGCACAACTCGGCTTTCAAATCGGGAGCACCACCCGCCTCTTTTGGCAGTTAAGCGCTTCCTCGGGCCATCGTCTATCGGAAGAAAGTTTGTTTTTCGGGGGAGGGGTCCGTTTTGCGCTGAGACATAATTCCTTTGCCTCGCTGAAGAGAAAGAACAGTTCTATGGGCATAGATCGTGAGTCATCGCCATGAAAATATTGTGTACCCCTGTAGGATGTATACTATCTACCTCCCAGCATAATCATTTTTCGTGTACATCAGATGTATCAGATCAGATGCAGAGATTCTCTGCAAGTTTTCACCTTAACCTTCGCCCCAGTGGGGGGGCATATGTTACCACCCTGTCGCGTTTTTTGCGTGTGAATAAAAAACCGCGGCGCGTAGCGCCGCGCCGCTTGGGGTAGCTTTTGGTGCATCAATTTTGGACAATGTGTGAAATTTTTGACCCCAGGTCATGTCAGGTCAGGTCACCAGGTCAAGTTAACTGACCAAGCCTAAAAAAGTTTGCAATCGTGTCCAGCCTGCAGTGTTTGTCAGAAAGTTTTTAAACTTGGTGGATTGCATGCTGTTATGGGCGCCTACAATTTGTATATCTCGGATTTTTTATATCCGTGACCTGAGGTCAGGTCAGTGGCGTGGCGTTTCCATTACAAGTCAATGGAGAAAAATGAAAATGCCTCTAGATCCGTGTGTACGCATAGGAACAGTCCAAATATTTCAGAATCACAGTGATTTGGACCACCCGTGATGACCTAGGTGTCATTTTTGCTCATAGCCTCTAGAAAGGTCATCCGAGGTCATTTGAGGCTACAAACAGATTTTTGCCAATAACTCGCGATTGGAAAGAGATAGAACGCTGGGGATGGTCTCATTGTGTTTGTCTTGTTGAGACGCATCGACTGATATGCAACATGACCTTTTCCGGTCAGGTCATGACCTTGACCTGAGGTCAAATTTTCAAGTTGACCTTTCAAGGTCAAATTATAGTTCATTTGACGCGTCTCGGTAAGCGGAACACGATTCTGGCAATAGAAATGTCGTGGCTTTTTGTAGTCGAAAGTTATTGTCGAAAAACACTTTTCGTAAAAACAGCTATTTTTGGAGTTTTTGCCCTCTGGAGGCTAAACCGTTGACCTGAGGTCAACTTTGATGATGACCTTATCAAAAGAAGAGTTCAAGAGCTATCGATTGCTGTTCCATGCGTTTTTCTAGCTACCATAGTTCCTGAGATAACGCCATGTTTTCTGAAAAATATAATGACAATTGGCAATTTTTGACCTTTGATGACCTCTGGTGACCCCAATATTGCTCTGAGATGAAAAATGACTGAAATACTTTTCAACGTACGTATTGAGAGCTATCGACTGCTTTTTACCGCGTCTTTCTAGCCCTCTTAGTTTTTGAGTTAGAGGTGGGTGGTAACATATGCCCCCCTCACTAGGGCGAAGTTGGCTGAGACCGCCACTGGGGCGCGGGTAAATTTTATTTCTAGAAGTCAGCTCTATTATTAGCTCCTCTTTGGAAATTCAATTTGCAGACAAGGAGACTCTTTGCAGACAAAGAGAAAGAGACAAGGAGACTCTTTATCAGTTAGATGTCCTTCAAGTGTCTGAGTAGGACCTCCTGGGATCTAAAATTCCCTGGTCTCTCCCCTTATAAACGTCATAACTGCATGCGTCTGGTCGAACCGTGTCGTTGGTGCAGGGCCGGCGGTGACGCCGGACTGGATAAATCACTGTGCACATAGATAAGCCGGTGAACGGTGTCTGTGTCTGTCTGTGTGTGGCTGCGGCCGATGGTCGGCGGTGGCGGTCGGTGGGGCGGTGGCGGGCCGCATGTGATGGTCTGCCGGCCTGCTGCAGGGCCGCCTCTGAACCCCTGTAAGGTGTGGTCGGCGCGCAAGGAGGGCGCCCGGCTGCTGGTGGCCGGCGGCGGCGGCGGCGTGGAGACGGGCGGCAGCGGCGACCCGGCCGCCCACCAGGCGGCGCTCCAGCGGCCCCCCATACAGTAGGTGGCACCGCGGCGGCCGGCTCGACGGCGGAGCACACTAACGCGCAGTGCATGCAGAGGACGGTAATGTAGGCGCATTGTGCCCAGTGACTATCAATTGCCCTTGATGGTGCATTTTGTGAAGGGTAGAATGGTACGGATGGTAGAGGTAGATTCGGTAATGCTAGTCTGATATCGCAGCTGGTTTTGTGTTTGGGCAGCAGAGCTTTAAAAGGAGCGATGTGGTTGCAGTGTGGTGTTGTTTTGTGTTGACCTTTATCTGCCCTAAAGCTATGTGTTTGTGCTCGGGTAACCGTTCGGGGAGGGTTTAAACCCTGGTTACCTATAAATAAGAAACCCTCAGCATTGATAACATTGTTGCCGAAGGGACCCTAAACTTCGTCAAAACCCCAATTTCGCTCTATCTAATCTATCAGTGAGGCTAAAGCGGATGCCGATAACGTTTTCCCATTTATTTGTATGTTTCTGATAAATTAATGAACTGCATGGGCCAATCCTTCTGTGGTATCCCGCACACTCGTTGCCTTTTCGCACCAACCGCCTGTGTGTCGGGCGACGACTGACTGTCCTTTGGCTGCGACACAGGGGCTCCGGCGAACCGTATACGTTCTCTCGAACGGAGTCAGGAGCGCCTCTTACGGCGGCAGATGGAGCACCAGGAGCACAAGGAGCAGGAGTTGAGCCACACTCAGGACAAGACTAGCTCAGAGACGGCGGCTGGAGACGACGGCCAGCTGCGACATGTCACCACGGTGAGGGGGCCGGTGTACGATGGAGATGGGGCTTAACTACTGGGCTGGTCTCAGCTGAGACGAGGTTGGAATGGCTATTTTTTCAATGTATTTGATGGTCCATTGAGAATGAAACTTGGAATATACGGATGGGAGATGGGATGGAATGGTATAGCAGGAATGGTATGAAATGGTATAGCAGCATCCGGCAGCGGCGTTAGTACATCCACTCTACAGGGTGTCCCGAAATTGATGCGCGGTTGTTTTATCCTCCATAACTTATAAAGTGCTCGAATTTATTTCACGGCTTATATGTTATCATAGTCCCCATTCAGTTGCATACACGGCCTATTGCACTCTAGCGTGTCACGTTTCAGGTTGTCAAGAGTCTCTCCTTTGAAACAACGCCATGCCGTTTATATCTTCTGAAACAGCCTCTTCTCTGAGCTAGCCCGTGGAAGCTTGCTGAGCTCCTTTCTGACGATCGTCCAGATAATTTGGATCGGGGACAGGTCCAGACTGTTGACCATGTCCCCTTCTCCCAGAGGCCTGGGAGCCTCGCTCGGCACCAGTCCTGGGTCTTCCTGGCGTGATAAGCCGGAGCCCTTTCTTGCTGGAAAATGGCCCTGGACACAAAAGTTTGACTCTGGTTTTTGAACCATTTACCTTTTCCCTCAGCATCTTTGTGGCATCAGTCTTCTTCAGCACCTCGCTGACATAGTAATAAGCAGTCACGGTCTGTTCCCGAGGCACCTCGTGAAGCTCAGAGCGCCTCTGTAGCTCATCATGCTCCAAATGAGATTCTTCAGCAGACGTTTCACCGTCTCGACAGCGGACTCCTCAGAGCTGCCGTTGGCCATTATTTCGATCGTTCTGCAGTTAGGGGCTTAGAGACCACAAAGGGCACCTTGTCACTGAAAAGGACGCATCTCCAGTCCTGAATGGTCCAGTTTTTGTGGGTCTTGGCGAAATCCAGCTGCCTGCACTTCTGGACCACAGTAGGCCAAGTCTGCTTTCTGAAGCTGAGCAACTTCAGCTTCAAGAAAGTCTTCAAATACTGATGGAGGGTCGATTTGGATGCTGGGACATGCATCTCATTCAGTTTTCTTGTCAGCGATGTTGAATGGTGCTTTTTAAAGGTCGACTTTGCAATCACGATTTTCGCCACTCGGCTCAAGGCAGTCTTCCGCCCTCGAACTGTGCTGTTCTTGAGTGTCTCTCCTGATCGTTTGCGGTCCATCCAAAGTTTAATTGTCGCAGAGTTGACGCCCAATTCTCTGGCATCCGGAACCTGGGTCACACCGTCCTTGATCATCCCCACCGCGCGGTAGCGGATCGGTAGTTAGTGCCTTTTCACTTTTGGTGTTATGCAGTTTCTCCACGTTGCCTGTCTGGACAAGAGTGGCCTCCCGCGCCCACTACCGGCCGCGGTCGGGTTAGCCGCTTGGTTCACGTGATCGTGTGACCAGCAAGATGTCAGTGTTGCCAGAGTCGGTAAAATTGCAATTGTTCAGCACTCGGGAGGGACAACATAACGTGCGGCACCAACCGCGCATCAATTTCGGGACACCCTGTAGGCTGACGATCGTGCTTCTGTATCGTGTTCCGTTCTTCGTATTTTTGTGTCTCCTGACGCTGGTGGTGCCACCTCCTCACAGGGTTCCCTGTAGACCATCGGACAGCGGCGGCGGCCGGCAGCCCCCTGACGGCCCTTCTCACCGACCCGCCGAAGGGGGCGACACCGCTTCGCGCCGCTTATTTATTGTTGCCAGTGAGCGGCGGGCGGGAGTCCGCCAGTGTGACCGGTCATACAGCCGACCACGTGATCTGAACCGAGCGAGGGGCGGTTATAGGGGCCGCACGGATCCGCCGGCTGGGCCGGCGGAGGACGGGGCGCGGACGCCGCGTTAGCGTGTGATGGACGGGCGGAGCGGCCGGCCGGCGCTGAGCTCCAGTTGTGATGGGGTGGGAGGGGGGCGACACGTCCCTCAGAGGGCGCCGCGGGACGGGCGGGAGGGCGCGGGGAGGGCTAAATGCACCAGAGTAGTAGCCAGACTCGACGGAGGGCGCGCGGTGACCGAGGATCGGGCGACTCGCCAGGCTTTGTTGTTCCTTATCGTGGCTACAGCAGTGGATGGTTTGTGTTCAAATGTACGCTAAATATCCGAGTGTCGTGACCATGTCATATTGTGTTATATAGTTGGCTTGCTACCACCAAATAAACAATGCTATTTTATGCGGCCATTAGGCACTGTTTTTGTAACTGCCAGGCTTTGTTGGTCAATGGTCAATGGTGTGGTCAATGGTGTGGCAGCCGCCGGATTACGAACGATGTTTTTTATGCTGGTGAAACTGATATGCGAATAACTTGACCCGCGCCCCGTTGGGCTATTCAGCCATACGCGCCCTGCTGGGGGGGGGGGGGGGCAGATTCTGCCCCCCCCCCCTGTCTAACTTCCGAACCGATGGTCGTAGAAAGACGGGGAAAACGGCAATCGAAAGCTCTTCAACAAGGCGGATCTTAAGAGCCCAAATTTTTTGCTTAAGTAGGTCAGAGGTCAGGTCAAGGTCAGGTCAAGGGTACAAAATGCAAGTTTCTACAGTATCGGCCTTGCACCGTAGCTGCCGAAGAATGGACTGAGACTGATTGCCCAAAACATGTTCTTAGACTACCAAGACAATATTCGTTGCATACAATGTCATTCAAAGGTCAAGGTCAGGTCAGGTCAGGTCACCAAAACAAAATATAGAAAAGGGTCATGTGCGACACATGTTTTATGGGTCATTTTACTCATAGAATTCAATAGGCACACTCAATAAGTGATATGGACCACCTCTCGATGAATTTCAGGTCGAGGTCAGGTCAAGTGAGGTCAAATTTTGAAGTTGGTTGTTGAGGCCAACTTCAAAACTGACAAATGTGTCCAAGGGGGGGGGGGGGTGTCCTGTTACCTATGTGGCGACGGGGGCGCCGAGTCGCGGTGGCGGCGGCGCCGAGTCGTGCGAGAGGGTTGGCAGTGTGGTTGGAACGGTCGCAGGAGAAGCACCCAATACACTCATCTACAGTCCGATTACACGGTAAGGGTGGTGCGCATTGTTCTGTTTATAATGTAACATCACGCGGCGCTATCCCCGTAATATTTCGTTCTTCTTCTCTACCGCTGCAAAATCGGGTTTTACATTGACTTTGAAGTTCTGTATAGGAAATAACCCAACACACGTGACGTTTCAGAGTCATCAAAATACCAAGCTTTCAAAAACATTAAAACACTAAAGGCGTAACAACAGCGGAAAACAGTAAAACGCTCGCTTTTTAGCCAATCACGAGAGCAGCAGAATCATCAAGGCCCGGCGAGCGAACTTTGGTCTACGTTCCTCGGACCGAATGTTCGACTGATCACAACATCTTGGCCTCAGTCTTTCTCGTGTTCAACAATTTCAGTGGTACGCAGGCTGGAGTGTTAATTTATTTTCTCAATGGCACGTTATTCTAACAGATGACTGCAATTTGAGCTGAAACCTAATCAGACTTTGGTTAACACTCTGCGGTTTAACGATGCTCATTCACAAAGCAATGGCTTTTATGGCTAGTCGTTGTGCTGGCTGGCTAATTGCCTGTTACAATGCGTCATGGCTAACATCCCATCGTGATTGTTTGATGCCATGTGTATGTCGCGGACACTCTCATTCATTCCTTCGTGCTTGTTCAATCTCGCGTGCCGTGATCTTCAAGTCCACATGGCAACCGTTTGATCCTGCGAGCCATGATGTTCGGCGTTACCTCCGAAACCGCCTGATCCCATGTGTGCACCGTAGTTACCCCACCATTCCTATCTGACCCCGTATACCGTGACCTCCACCCCTCACGACTCCTTGCTCAGACACCGTTCCGTCGTCGTCTAACTGATGTATTGCCTCACGGCTGGCTGGCCGGCCGGCCCGTCAGACGGCGCCGGCCGCTGCCGACCGTGATATGCGGCGTCGGGCGCCACGCCACCGTCAACCAAACAGACGCCGTCTCAACAGAACACTACGGCACGCGCGCGCGCACCAATAAATACACTGGCTGAGAGGGACCGCCCCTCCAGCCCGCTACGCTAGCCACGACACGGTGTAAATAAACGCGCTGTCTCTCTGTCTGACTGTCTGTCTCTGTGTGCCGGCGGTCGGTTCGCCGCCGGCCTCCTGGAATGGGTGTGGGCCCGCCGCGGGCGGCTGCGCGGCTGGCGCCTACTGAGGTTTTTCGCCGCCGCCGGCAGGAGGCGCCGCGGCGGCCGCCGCCTGTTTCTGCTGCGCCGCCTCGGCCTCTCGCAGCGCCTCGTCAAATGACTGTGTCGAGTTGCTGTGTGATGTCGATACCTTGCTCTGGAAAAGAGCAGGGAGGTGCTGTCAGCATACACAATCGCGAAGAGTGTCTGGGGGAGGGGGAGGAGCGCACACACGCTGGCGGTCGCAGTGACCAGTGGAGGAGAGGAGAAACAAACACACTCGCTGCTGACGAGAGACTGAGAAGAGGAGAGCGAAACAATCGAGTCTGTAAAACGGGCCGACAAGGATGGTGCCAATTATTGTCCACCACTCACTTGTCGAGACCAAATGACCTTACCAAACGAAGTCGAGGCCTCACGAAGGACCACTACTGGGGAGAGACAGCTCGCCACCGCGGGGACCGAGGCGGATTTAGCCCGAGGGTCACCAAAGTAAAACACACACGACCCTTTACATAAAGAACATTCTTGAACATAATTGATAGTAATGAATGACTAAATCTTCACTTATAGTAAGCGCCAGGTGGCATCTGAACAGCTGAGCATAATTGGACAAAACAACCAGTTCGCGTGCTGGCCAAAAATAACACCCTACTAGGGGCATCGCTGAACGATGGCATTAGAGTTATAAGACACAAAAGTCTCTATTTGCGACACCTTTAACTACGCCATCCAGTGATCACTGATCAATATGGTTTGTTAAAACAATCAAACTGTAATAGCCCGACACACGATGGTGACAGAACAAAAAATAACCAATAAAAATAACTCGCATGACCATGAGTGTTTAATTAACAAGGATTGAGGAAGGTAATTTCGAAGACACTGAGTTTAGCAGCTGTCTCGAAGCAAGCATGTAATAAACTAATTAAAAATTGGAGGACGTTTGCCGTGTGATTAAGGCTTGTTCGATTACACTATGCAACATAGGCGTAGGAACAGGGGGGGCCGGGGGGGCCATGGCCCCCCCACTTTCGGAGGTGGGGGGGCCAGCAATGTTAACTGGCCCCCCCACTTTTTGCTGACTTTAGTGTCTGTCTGTACCTACCACCCGGTACCCTAAACACCAGAACTTGACGACTATTCAGCCTCCCTTTAATGAACATTCCCTTTTGTTTCTACAGCGTTATTGACCGCAATTTCCTTCACTCAATGAAGGAAACCATATCAGACACAAAACTGTGAGTCCTGGTGGCAGCATTTTGTTGAATACGAGACGCGGGACATGAGCGGGCACTGAAAAGGTATAAGAAAATACTAGCACGGTGCAGGAGAATGCGTATACAAACGACCAACGCTTACCGGATCTGCTTGGAGTCGGCATAGTTCGTCAAAGGCGTAGTAGCTGGGGGCCAGGGTGACCGTGCCCCCAGCCTCGGTTCAAACAGGCTGGTGGCCAGCGATGTCTGTATCTTCCCCTCCCCTTCCACTTTCAGTGCAGTGGTGGTTGCAGAGGGGGTATCAGGGCCATGCCCTTCAGCCTCCAAAGGCTAATCAGGGGGCCATCATTTCATTTGTCCCCCCCCCCCCAAACAACCAATGGGCCCCCATGGGCGTATGGGGCTCTGGCCCTTATTCTATTGTCAGGAGGCTTAAGAAACCCACGCCAGCTATTAACAGCTCCCATACCAGTCTTTGAGGGTCCTACACTGATCTAAGAGGGCCCTTCAGTGGCGGTCAAGCACCCATATTGACGGATGAGAACCCACATTGACCTCTGTCTGGGGTCCCAAGACTAACCTTTAGGTGCCTCTGAGCATGGGATCTGAGGCATGGGATCTGAGGGCCCCGCAGTTGAGGGCCCCGCACTGCGGGGCCCTGAGATCCCGTGCCGGTATTTTCCCATGCCGGTAAGCCCATGCCGGTATTTTAGGGTCCCACACTGATCTCTGAGGGCCCATGCTGGCCTGTAAGGACCCGCATTAGCCTCCGATGGCCCAAGTCGGCATCTAAAGGTCTCAAACTGCCCTTTGCAGGCCCTGTACTGGTCTCTGAGAGCCTTAACCCTCGCCCTGGCAGGGCATTTTTCATAACACGGCCTGGCAGAGGGGGTCGATGCGACCCCCCCCCCCTCGCGATTGGCTCCTATGGCACCTAGAAACACCAAATTTGGTAGGTAGGTGGACCCCCTGGATTTCTCGCCCCTGTGCAAATTTGGTTGCTCTAGGTCAATATTTAGGGGGGTTTCGGGGGGTATAAATGTAAAAATTTCGCTAAAAACAGGTCAAAAGTTTTTCGCTTATAACTTTTGATCTAATTAAGATAGCGCAAAAAGAAAAGCACCAGTGAACTCAGCACGTCAAGGCGCGTCGAATGATATACTTTTTAGCTTGCTTAAGTGTACTTAAAGTTTTTCTTAAATTTTAAGTAAACTTAAATTAATAAATTAAGTTCAAGTTAACCAAATTGCATCACATTGCATATCATTCGATTCGGCTGATCACCAAGAACACAATGATACCATTTTTTAAGTTCTAGCGTCATTATGTGCCAAGTTATTGGCAAAACGTCATTTGACCTCAGTTGACCTCATTTGACCTGACCCATGGATAAGTACACCAAACAAAGAAGCACCAAGTGACCTGCTGTTAAGTACTGTGGTTTCAAAGCACAAAAATGATAGAACGAAGCGGATATCTCCAGTATTTTCCGAATTTAGTATTTTCCCATAGGCTTAACATTACGACGTAATGACCTCTAACTGACCTCAGGTCAGTGACCTCAAAAAAACCGAACTATATGTTATACAACTCGGTGAACTTAGCACATCCTGAAAGTTTGAAGGAAATCAGTGCAAAACTGTGAGTTGGACAGGCGCAAAAAGAAAATTGAAATTTGACCATGACCTTGTACCGGTTTTTCTGACCTGGTGACCTGACCCAAGGTCACCCGGACCTGAAATTTTCAGGTCATATGTAAAAAGGGTGCCCCATAGACTGTGCCAAATTTGGCGGCGCTGCGCGCCGCCGTTTTTACGCTACCTTCGAAAAACCTTAGGGGGGGTCGCATCGACCCCCCCTGCCTGGGCGAGGGTTAACCCTCGCCGGCCGGGGGGAGGCGGATGCCGCCCCTCCATAGTTTTTTTTTTCGCGATAGCTTCGAACACGCCGGCGATAGAGAGCTGAAGCTTGGCATACCTGACCTTTGAATCAAGCCGGATCTGTTGACACCAACAGCATTTTCGGGTCAGATCAGGTCACTGACCTATGAGGTCATAAGTGAACCTCTGCACGGTCTTCAGATGTCACAACTTTGCAACGCCCTCACTGCCAGAGGAGCTTTCACAGGGAAATGAACCTTGCAGGACCTAGTATCCATTAGGAGTCTCACAACTTGTAGATCTCGGATTTTTCCTAAAGGTCATATGAGGTCAGGTCATTTTCGTAGCCTCACCATTAGGTAGGTAGGTATAAGTCAATGGGGATAAAATGAAAAGTCTTTTTCTGGCGCCAGGAACGATCTCCAACTATCTCAAGCACACCGAATCGTGATTTCATGCACTCCTTGCAAGGTTTGATGCGTCACTTTTGCAATGTTGACCTTGCGCGACGTCATAATTATGACGTTATAAGGGTCATATTAATTTTTCGTCAATAACTCCCGATCAAATTGAGCTAGCGAGTCGGGAAAAGCCACTAATGGATTCAGGAAGATCTGCCGCATTGAATGATATGCGACATGACCTTCGACCAATTTCGTGACCTGGGGGCGCTGACCTGACCGTGACCCAAAGTCAACACCCTAAGTTTACCTCACCCAAACAAAAAGTATATCATTCGACGCGCCTGAGAGAGGCGAAAATGATGCTGGCTAAATCGCGGCTCTGCGGCCGTTTTTTGCGAAGTTATTCACCAAAAACGGAACCGTACCGTGGGGCACTTGACCTGACCTCGGAGGCCACCGGTTGACCTAGTACCTTAAAATGGGTATCGATCTCTGCGTCTCGTAACGGCGCACACGTTCGTTTTTCCGCGACGCGCTAGCTCCACCTGGGGCGAAACGGCGAGGGAGGGGGGTCGTACCCGCCCCCGCCCCCCCCTTCCACCGGCGCGTATGTAGAAAACCTATAGGTCCGGCGATGGTTAAACTGGTCTCTGAGGGACCAGACCGGCCTCTAAAGGTCTCACACCGGCCTCTGATATCAGCCCAGTTGCAGTGGTGGCTGATATAAAACCTCTGAAAAACGTTACAGGCCTGGCTGAGCCTAGCTGGGCCGTTCATGCTGATTTTATAGGCATATTGAAAAGACTCGCTTTGCACGTTTCACGCTCGCTCGTGAAAAAGTTGCTGGATGCCTCTGGAATTTGCATGGGTGCCAACGGCTGCGGAGGACAGGGGAACAAGTCCATCAGTTTGAGTTTCTGGACGGGAGTCTCCCTGAAATTTAACCATTTTTTTTTGTCTCGATTTTGTGTTTACCTCTGAGCATGTTTGCGAAAACAAAGTGGCCGAAATCCGAGGAGAAATTGGATTTGGGGGGTAGGTTAGGTTTTAGACCTCTGGGAGCCTGGCCCCCCCACTTTCGAAAACGTTCCTACGCCTATGCTATGCAACAAAAAATGAAACATTTTCTGTTCCTGGAAAGCGACCGAATTTTTCTTATTCATTGGGTCCTATTATAACCGAAATGGGCATTAGTTTTGATCTGAAAATGCTTTTCCGGTTTTCGGAGACGATTTTCGATTTTTGGCCCCGAAATTCGGTTTTTGGCCCACCGTGTCCGATGTAATTGAGTAATCGACTCGCGGTAACTTTCATCGCCTTTCCTATGCCACAAGCTTTCGAATGATATCTGGTTTTGCATATCTGCGTGCAAAAATAACGTCATAAATATATGTTAAAGTAAGAAAATGTTGAAATTTTGTAAAAATTTGACATTTTTTTCGATTTCATTTCAAAATAGAGGAAAAACTAAAGGCCCTATCCAAATTCTGAGCCCAGTTCCTTGAAGAGCATTCAATTTCCGTTCGGAAGGTACCTTTTTAGTGCATTTTATCGGATTCCTGTGGCGTCCAGATTGAGTTAACCTAAACACATATCCTATGTCATATCACATAGCATTAACCTGATAACGTATGTTAACGCCATAGGATCAACGAGGGGTCAACTGAGGTCATGTTGTTGACCCCTTGTGACCTCGGGTCACACGCAGGAACTTACTTTTGAGCAGTCCTGTCGCTCAGAATTTTGATCTGTACCTCCATTTGTTAGAATGATTCTTCATGCACTGAACACATATTGTCATGGAAATGGCTGGGGGCCCGTTTTTCAAGTGACTCAATCTGGACGCCACAGTAAACCAATAAAATGCACTAAAATAGTACCTTCCGAACGGAAATTGAATGCTCTTCAAGGAACTGGGCTCAGAATTTGGATAGGGCCTTTAGTTTTTTCTCTATTTTGAAATGAAATCGAAAAAAATGTCAATTTTTTACAAAATTTCAATATTTTCTTACTTTAACATAGATTTATGACGTTATTTTTACACGCAAATATGCAAAACCGGATATCATTCGAAAGCTTGTGGCATAGGAAGGGCGATGAAAGTTACCGCGAGTCGCTTACTCAATTACACCGGACACAGTGGGCCAAAAACCGAATTTCGGGGCCAAAAATCGAAAATCGTCTCTGAAAACCGGAAAAGCATTTTCAGATCAAAACAAATGCCCATTTCGGTTATAATGGGACCCAATGAGTCCAAAAAAAATCGGTCGTTACTCAGGAACAAAATGACTGTTGCATAGTGTTATAGGTCCCATGACAACTGGAACAGCCTGAGGGATAATCTTAACGACTTTGAGTCACGGAGAAAGGTTCAAAATCATTTGAGAGCCTCCTTATCATGGCAAAATTGTGGGTCAAAGGTCATCGGCTGGTCATAATTAATTTCCAAAATTAGTAACATCAAGATAAAGCCCAGGTCAAAAGGAACCCACAAACGGCCGACCACCCCCGACCCCGATGGCTATCTCTCAAGTGCACCACCTTCTCCCTCGACTAGCAGCATCTGACCCAAACCCACGACCGGCCGCTCCGCCCCGGCGCTACCCCTGTCAGCCGTGAGCCGAGCGACTGCCGTCGGTCCGACGTTCCCGCACAATAACCGGCGCCCACCGGCAGCCCGGCTGAAATGTTAATCGGTTGCCGAGAACGGCCGTCAGCCGGAGGCGTGGGGTCCGCTCGCCACCTCCGGGGTCCGTCAAACTCAATCCATCGGCCCAAATGGCATTCTTTGGTGCTGAATGGCTCGGGCGGTGAGCACAATGCCGACCCAAATGGGCTTCAGGAGTGCAGTGGCCGGAAGAGTGCTCCGAGGCGACAGGCAAATGTCGGGCTCTGTGACAAAACGCGCCCTCCCCAGCCGCCTACCTGCCCGCTCAACGTCGGATATCAATACAAATAACCGGACTACTATCGATAAAACGACCCATCCTCCCCCGAAACCTGCGCTCTGTCAGACCGCGGCGGGTGGAGAGAATAACTCCGAATAGTCCCCCTCTGCCCTACCGATGTCCGAGCCCAACCACCAAAGAGAAACACATGTCTATCCCCGCCCATCCTTGTCACAGCTCGCTGGGCAGAGCGCTCTCCTCATACCGCGCCGACCGCTCCGGTTCCTCGTCACCACCGACGAGCGGGAGCTACCGAGAGAGCTGGCCCCCGCCGCCCCCGCCGCCCGACGGGATCGATGGGGATGGAGCGCCGGGCGGGGGCGGGGGCGGGGGAGGCGAGCTCGATAGTGGGACGATCGGTCCGCGGCAAAGCCGTGATCGAGGCTGACTTGGCGGCCGGTCGGGCGCGCCTGATGAGAAGGGTCTCTGACGGGGAGGGAGGGAGACGCCGGGTCTCCAGGAGCCGACCATCCTGGACAGGCTGGGGAGAGGAGGCGAGGGATGGGATGAACATGGAGCATTGAACAGTGTACTGTCTTCGCCAAGCCGTGCCGGGAGCTCGGTGTTGGGTCACCCGGCCGGACAGGCCAGCGGCAGTGTCCGCGCCCAGCGCCGCCGGTATGGCTTCCCGAGCGGCCAGCGGCCCCATCGATCGCAGCGACCACCGGCCGGACGGAAAGCGACGGAACGCCACGGGACAGGAGGAGGCGAGACGGTACGACACGGAGCGGGACGAGTGAGACGCTACTATGACGGGAAGGAAGGGCCGGAAGCGAGGACAGGGAACGATATGGGATGTCGCTGTGATGGACGTACGGACAGACCAACCGACGAGACGAACGGGCGGGCAGACGAACCGACGGACGAAAGCGCCGCCGTCGCTCGGCTCAGCCCGCTCCGTTCAGTCGGCCCGGGCCGCTCCAACCCCGACCATTGATTGCTACAGCGGCTGACGAGGCCGTCCCGCGGGCCTGCCGCCGCAACACCCTCTGTAACGGCGCGCTGGCACGACACTCAGTAGTGGGGGACCACCTGCGTCATCTACAACTAACGCCCACACACCTGCAATCCACGGTACCATACCATACAAACACCCCACAAGTCCACACCTCCATTACACGAATAACGCCCACACCCCTACCGCCCCACCACCCCACCGCCGCAATCCAAGGCTCACACCCACACGCCCGAGTCTCGACGCCACACACCTGACTCACACGACACTTCAACCAGTCACTCACGAGACCTCACCCCCTACACTCGTCCCACCTCTTTTCAAGTTTCGTGATACCTGTCACAGATTGCGGCAGGAGCGCATGGCAACAACTTTCCTGAATTAACTCCAGGGCACGGTCTATTTTAAGTCCTTATTGGTCGTGCTCAAAGGCGCTGGCAGAACATACGTGGGCGATGCTCCGTCAGGCGGAGCATTAATGGACTCGGCGCCTTTTTATTGAAAGTGAAAGCGGTATTCTAGCAATGAAATTGCTTGCGGTGCACGCATTAAAATGCGCATGAAATTTTATGACACTCCCAAGTTTCAGTGAGTGATGAGCATTCCCAGACGATGACCATCCTGTGAATAATAAAGGAACTTCACGTGATGTATGATGCTACGCTCGTGGAGCCGCCAGAACTGGGCAGACTTCCTCCTTGGGGATGGCCATGATAAGTTACACCTGAGGAACTGCTGCACATTTAACAGCATTACAAATAGCTCAGCCGACCTTCATACAGAAAGGGCACGAGCAGATGTAATTCAGCGACGCCCCGAATCGCGCCTGTTGCCAACTGCGTACCAAAGCCTGGTTGTGTGGGATAGCTATCAGCACTTAATCTAAAACGCCGACGGCTATCTTGTGGGCAGTTCCTTCACCATACACGGTCACAAATGGCCATCACAAACAGACGCAGCCACAAACTCCGCCTACCTTGACCGAGTTGACCATGGTGCCCATCCGCTCCTCGACCGTTTTGAAGGCGGCCGACTCCCGCGCCTCGCTGATCTTGGCTCCCAGGCCGGCGAACAGGCCAGAGGCCTTCTCGCCGGTGCTCTTCAGCGCCGCGCCCGTCCTCTGGTAGCTGGGGACGAACAGAGAGCATGTGATTAGACGGGGTAATGTTTGCCAGCACTGTCCTCTGGTAGCTGGGGACGATAAAAGAGAGAGCGGTAAGAACAGAGCGAGCGGTCCGTTAGCTGGGGACGAAGAGAGGGAATGTTATGACAGGGCAGAGTAGCGTCCTCTGTAAGCTGGGGACGAACATAGGGAGAGAAGGGGCTAGAACAGGGTGGTGGGTTCAGCGGATGGCTGGGGACGAACAGAGAGGAGGGCTAGAACACCGCCGAGCGCTGTCCGCACTGTCCTGTGTTAGCTGGAACAAATGAATTGAAGGAGAGGGCAAGACAAAACGAAATCATTTATTAGTTGCAGAAAGACTGAGTGGCAGAATAGAGCGTTGACCTCTAGCACCGAAAGACGGATGTGATTAAGACCAGACAAAGCGCTAGCCTAGCTATCAGAAAAAAATAATCCGAAGGGAGGGTGAGCGAGTGACGTCAGTCGGTACGTGACGGCACGCCTGGTAACAGCTCCGGAAAGAACGCAGGCGAGGACGGGGGACCAGCGGCTGTGACCAGCGGCGCGCTGCATAATGGATGTCATTGTAGATATGGCACGAAAGGTATGGGCCAGAGACCGGGGGCGCGGTGTTCCGGTCAACAAACGTGACACGGTGGGAAGATCGCTACTGGGAGGGTAGAAACGGGCGGTTTTCAGTTCATTTCTGGGCATAGGATCGTATCTAGCAAGACATTGGAGAGTAGGCATGGGTTCAGGTGTTCGGGGACAGTGAAGACGGTGCCACAGGGACTCTGGAAATGATTCTTACTTAATCATGGATTCAGCCGTAGGAAAATATAAAGCAAATCCACTGGAACTTTGGATGGATGCTGGAAAGAGCAGTCCGAGGTTGATGAATTCAGGTGTGATGACGGATCAGAGCCTCCTCCAGGAGCGTGAAAGTCACAGGTGACGCACGCTGTAGAACAGTTTGGGGCTCGCCCTGCTCGACCGGGACACCGGCCTCAAATAGCCGTTCATCTGCCCCGTGGGAGAGAGCTGGACGCCAGGTCATCTCTCCCCTGGGAGCGAGGTGAGCGCAGGCGGTCCGTTTCAGCCGCTCCATCTGCGTCACACGGGCGTTAGCTGGACACTAACGGCGGTGACTGGGAACGGTATGGGTGACTGGGAACGGTAGGGGTGATTGAGGACTGTAAAAGGTGGCCGGGGACTGCAAATGGTGACCGGTGTGACTGTAAAGGATGACTGGGGGTGGCAGTGGATGACTGGGGGATGGCAGTGGGCAACTGAGGCTGGAACGGGTGACTGCGAGTGAGGTTAATGGTTATCTGGAAAGTGGGGACGGGGGCTCCAATGGAATAGGGGAGGAGCGCAGGGATCATCACTTGTCACCACCGCTAGATGATGAATTGAAGACGGCAATGGTAAATGCGGTAAGTGGCAATGTTGCTGATAACAGGCATCTGGCAAAGAAGAACGCCACACCAACCTAAGTCTCACGAGGGCACTAGAGCAGCCCTGGCGACCGGGCGGCGCCGCAAGTCATGCTGAGAGCACGTGCCCAGGGTGAGGACGGCCGACACGCCACCACCACCAGCCGTAATGAAGTTAGCACTGAAGATGGAGAGCCTGACAAGCAGCTTAATTTAAACAGCGCACGGCGCGGCAACTATTTCCAGAGGAACTGCGCATTGCTTCCGCATGTGCTATTCAAAAACACCTCTATTCCACGAATTAAATTATCCCCAGACAGCAATTACTATCAACTGTGGCTGTCTAGCCACCCGAATGTTACTCCTAAGTTCACGACGAGCTTACTCGTATGCCGTGAGAGTCGCGGCAACCGTACATTTCACAGTACACGAAACAGGCTGCAATTCAACAGGTCAGCCAAGCGGCCACTACCGCCGCGGCCCACACGCTCGGCACGAACATCAGCCCATGTGCTGTGTGTAATCCCCATGCCAACAAGTGGACTTAGAGCGGTACCATCACATGCAGTGTCGTTTGCGATGCTTTGATGTGCATTGTGTATAGCGGGATCCGGGATCGCCACTACATGCAACTACATGCAACGGTACGTGCAACATGATGACTCATTCCTCAATCGTGGGGCCGTGACATAACAAACAAGTGTAGATAAATGAATGAACAAGAGCTCACGGAGACAGCAAATACATCACACCATACAGCCAGAGATCATGTGACAAATACACAACAGACTACACACTCATGGACCAGCCGACCGTGGACAACAGCTACCGCCGTGGAGCACGAATGGCTCGCATGCACGGAAAGGAGAGGAGGGAGGCAAGGGATAACGCACTGGCTGCACGTAACTAAACACCCCGTAACAAAATCGAAAGAGGAGAATGCGGACTGGGCTAGGTCACGTCACAACAGTACGATGCTACACAGCGAATACTCCAGCCATGCCTCCTGCAGTCTAGGTCATTCGCCACGCCTGTACACCAACATAAAGAGGCGAACATGACGGTGCTGTCTTACAGAGACATGTTAGCGTCGTCCGATAGCTCCGGCTTGGGGGGCTCGGTGGTTCCCATTCCGTCGCTGGACATTGTTTCTCTCTGGTTGGTTTCGACTTCAGTGGTTCAATGTATCGCCCTGGATATGTTAGTAAGCACGTTACACACACGTCAGTAGACACATCAGCTGGTGCGTCACACATATGTCAGCTGACACGTCACACAAGTCATCCAGCACGTCACACACGTCAGCCGGTACGCCACACTCACGTCATCCGGTACATCAGACACGTCAGTCGGTAGCACACACAAGTCAGGCGGCACATCACACATACGTCAGCTGGTCCCTCACACACGCCACACAGACAGATATGTCAGACGGTATATCACACCAACGTCAGTCGGCACATCACACATCAATCAGACGCGGCGGCAGACACATCATACATCACCCGGTGGCGTCTCACTTTGATTTACCGCCGCCCGCACCCTTCAGCCCCAATAAACATCCAACAGTATCTACCCAAAGGGCGTCCAGACTCAGCGCAGACGTCCTAGTTACCGCACATATCCCTGTGCAAATTTCGCGGGCGTCCCATTTGAGTGATGAACGGCGCTGTTTTAGTTCCGGCTCGGTGGGTTTCCAATCCGCGGCGGCCGGCTCACCCGTCCGTCGATAGCCATGACGATAAATCCCACTTTCCGTCGATCCGCCGGCCGTCCGGCTAAGTCCAGACACGGATACCGATCTGGTGGGGCATTAGTTCTAGTCCCGGAGGTTTATAAACGCCCCCAGGCAGCCCAAAGCACCCAATCGAATAGAGTCTTACCCATGGACTGTAATCGCCACGCCCCGCGTGGATTGTCCATGAAGGTAATACAATACAATACATCCAATCGGTCGTGACTCAGCTCATATACTCAGCTATATAAAACTCGAGTCTTACAAAAGCGTTCGAAAATAACACAGACCATGGTCAGTATCTTACAGCAGACCCAGACCCAGGCCCACTGCCTCACTCCGATTCCCTAGACTCTGCTCTGCAGGGTCCAGAGGACGACCCCAGTCCCCAGCTCAGGCGCCTCGGCATTCTACTGCCTCTGTCGGTTGTCATGACAACCGTGTCTGTTCCGGCGGGCGGACTGTGATGTAGAGGTCCGTTCATCCGCCGTCAGAGCAGTGTTCACCCTACTCAGTTCTCTTGCGCGACTGGGAGCGTGTCATAGCGGAAGCGGCCGGAACAGCCGCGGCGCCGGTTAGCCTCCCAGATCGCGCATGGTATGAATACAGACTGCTGGGATCGACTGTGAATGTCTGAGAGTGCCTGGAGAAGGGTTATATTCAAGACTGATCCCATGAATACGGCGCCTGACGAGAATTCATAAATCAATGATACGTGCGGTTCTGCAAGCGTAGTATCAAGGATTCTGAAGCTGTCTTTTATGCTGGATCACAGTTCAGACATTGCTTTGCGACTGTCAGCGAAACCAACAACGAAAGCAACACTTTCCTTTCCTTCATCCCAAGTCTCAGAAACACCCACCGAACACCCCGGCGTCTCAGAGGCCCGGACCGTCGACCGGCTCCAGTACGGCCTACAGTAAGGCCTATATACCCGGCGGCGCCGTCTGACCTTTGGTGCCGCTTTAGAGCGCCGGCCGGCGCGGCCTCCCGTAAAGCTGGCGCTGGGCGGCGCGCCGCCAACTACCGCCGCCGCCGACAGATATTGCCGGCTCAGACGCCGCCCCGCCGGGAGCGCCGCGTCGGTTCCGACGACGGCAGAGCTCCCACACAGTGGAGAAGCTGACTGGGGAAACCGCCGGCGGTGGTGACCGGTCACTGCCGGCGCAGCGGTAGTCTCTATCTGCTGTATCGACCGGCGGAGACCGCGGACGGTCCTCCTGACTCATCGGATGTCCCCTCTCTCGGCAGATAGGACTGTCCTCCGAGGCCTCTGCCCGTGGTGGTCGGGCGGCGGGATAAACTGCTGAACCAGAGCAGCGCTACCCACCTAAGCTGCCGTCTACAGGCGTGGGTCACCTAAGGGGAAGCCGTCACCATTGGGAGTCGATAGCAATGCCACTCCATCTGACTCCGTTTCGGTCGAGAGATCACACCGCTGCTCCTACCAGCGCGCTCCAACCGCCAGTCGCAGACCTTTGAGAAATCGACCATCCGGCGTCGGCCCACTCTGGCCTTAGATGGCGTCCGGGGTCAGAGGTCAGCCCTCTCCAGTCGGCGAGAGGGGCCATCACTCAGTATGGACTGGGCTGACACATGGCACAGGGCACCCCTGGAACTCCGTCCCTGACCTTCGGAGAGCACCTCTACACCCACGAGGCATGCAGAGAGCGGCAGGCACTTGACACGTGACTCCAGCCTGATGGTGGCTATACACGGGAATAGAGTAAATAAAGAAATCACAGCTCTCCACCTACGAGTCCGATGGAAAGCTGCATCGAGTCAAGTGACTTCTGCCTGATAGAAAACACCGGACTGATCGAAAGAACAAAC